CGCCTGTGCTTGGAGTTCATTTGCTAATTAGTTTTGCTGGCAGCTAACGGAAAGTTTTTCACGGACTGCAGAAAGTTTTGTGCCAAAAAAGGGCAAGAAACATAGCTTACGAGGAAAACTTAAAAATTCCATTTCGAGTTCCAGTTACGTTGGAAAACTTTGCAGCGTGACTGAGTTGGGGAGCGGAATAAATCAGAAATAATTTCATAAATTGAATTCGTCTCTATGCAATTTGCTTTGATGTTGCTCCATGTCATTCTGCTCGCATCAGTCAATCAATCCATCCATCAAATTCGCATTCAACTAGCAAACTGTCAGTCAATTGGGGAAATTGAATTTCCAATGCGTAGACAACGAGCCCTCTCACCTTGACCCGAAAAGCGTTCCAGTGCGAATCGCTGTTGCACAAAAGTAAAAGTAATCCAAGCCGAGCAGAGCTAGAACGTATCCGCCAGATATAACAACTAGCCGGCAAATTGAGGCCGAAAGCGAAATGCACAATTAGCAAATTGACGCCAGTAAACAGAGGCGGAAAAGCCAATCAATAAACATCGGTAAAATACGATGCCACAAGCCGACTGAGCTGCGTAAAAGCCTTGTTGTTGTTTGGGAACCGCCGTAAAAGTAGGCGCACCTGTTGCTACCTCGTGGATCCACAGAGAACCTCGCAATACACAATGTATCTGTATCTCTGTCTGAGTATCTGAGTGCCTGACTGTCTGTGTGGGGGCGCAAGTGTTTAGTATGCAGAGCGCGTGTAACTAACATTTTAGTAAACAGCAGAAATTCCTTCTAAACGTGTGAGCAAAGTATAAATTTCTGTTGTTTTCTTAGCGTCGAGCTGGCGTCGCCAACTTTTTTGTGCCAGTGCCACATAGCTACAATACTCTCTAATTACATTGGAAAATACACGGTCGCAGTCCAGGCGGCATTCTAATGAGCTGTGGGAAATGCCTGCCAAAAAAGAATTAACCAAAGGGGGCTGGCATGTCGTTTATGTGGGAGTAGAAACAAAGTCGGAGGTTCAGGTATATTTTCTTACAGGGCTGTAGAAACACGTTCCCGCATCTCCGATTCTGCCTTTCTTCGACTCACCTTCTGTCCGGCTTTCTGCTGTCTTCTGTCTCCTGTGTTCTGAGTAGAAACAAAAGGCATTTAATTAAAAACACATTTATTTTAGATATTCTGTTGGCGGACATTGTTGTTTGTTGTGCGGCGGCTGAAGTGGGCCAACGAACTTGCGTTTTTGATGGTTCACCGAGCAGGGAAATATAGCGGGGAGAATTAGATTTATGGGGAAAAGGTATTTACTTATATGCCTACATGGGTGTGCTCCTATTAGTTCAAAGTGGTTTTGATTATTAGCTGGTGCTTTAGGCCTTGGGGCTTCGAGAGTTAATTAACTTTAACCAGGATCAATATTTTCGTAGTTTTCTGTATCATTGTTTTTTCCATTAGTTTCAAATCGGCTATCTAAGCACAGATGTTGCTCAGTGTTGGACATGTGATTTTTCAAAACGAAAACCCGAATGGAAACAAAATAAATCACGCCGGGCAAGGGTAGACGAAGTCTTTCACCATTTGCGACTTGAGCATAAAAAATGACCAAATGCCATTCTACATATCATAAACAAATACCAAATATATGGTAAATAAAATATTGAAACGGGAGGTCCAGCTGCTACTGCTGTTTGTTGCCCCAGGGACGGCCGACTAGACTCCACGTAATACGAGTATAAATATTTCCATCTGTATCTCTATGGACATTGCTCATTACGTTTATGGATGCCAAGGCAGCCCAGACGTGTTTGTTTATTATTATCTATTTGTTTTGCCTTTATTTTGTTTGGTTTTGCTTCTATTTGTGCCGCTCTTCATCCTTACGCTCCTAATTCCAGCTGCTGCCTCCGGATTGCCTGCCATTTATGTGGCAAAAACAATCAGAAAATAAAAAATTGGAAACTAATGCGAGCACTACTTCCCCTTCTCCCTCATGGCAGCCCGAATTTGCATCTTTCTCGATTTAGCAAAATGACGCAACTATACGCAAACCGAGACTACAAAAAAATAAAATACACGAGTATATCCTACATATGGCGAGGTTATACTATACTCAGCATCGGCTATTGTAAAGTGTTTTTTGTTTTATACGGCATTTTAGATTTCTTTTTGCGTGTTTTTATGAGCTATGGACAAGTTTTGATCATTAGCGAAATAGCTTTTAGTTTTTAGTGCCTTTGTCTTCGAAGAGATAATAATGAGCTTCGAAAACGGAAAGTCTTTAAAAGGCTTCCCGACAAGAAAGTGAAGTCATATCCCCTAAATATTATTCTAATTTCACTTTTTTCCCCTGGGCAGACAAAGCTCAGACTCTTAGTTTCCGCTGTAGCGAATTGGAAAATCCTCTTAGCGTGTTTTACACAGACAATCAATAACAATTGCAGCCAAAGTGTTCACACTTTCCATCAACGAGAGCCATTGACCCGAGTCGAGATACGTAGATACATTAATGCTGGGACAAAAAAGAAGGGAAAACTGTCGCAATGGCAGACAGAGAGAGGAAAGCTGGCGTTTAATTGCATTTTGCTGGCGGAAAGTAAAAGTCACTTATGGGAAAACCCGAATCCACCCAGACGAGGTCGACAATAAAGGTCTTCCTCCTTTCCGCTCGCCCAAGTCCCAGATGGTACCTTCTGCATTATCTGCCCTTTATACGAGCTGTATTTCGGTCTAGGGCATTGTTTATGTGTCTGATTTTCTAATTGGTTTTCGTCGGGCTCAGAGCGTAGTCGCCTTGCCAATCGCAGACAAAAGGGTTAAGAGAGCGCGTTGGCGAGCAAAGGGCGTTCGCCACAGCAACAATTTCAATTGTGTGGCTGCAAAGTGTAAAGTGTAGATTAAATTGTCAAGATAAATGGCGCAAGACACGCCCCGTTTCTGTGGCTACTGTGTGTCGGAGTCTTTTATTCTCCTTTCCCCATTCATCACGTGCTAAGACTTTGGGAAAACTCAGGCAGGCAAGGGTTACGTCCTACACGCCATTACATTTCCATAGTCAAAGCGCATTTCCTGCCCACGGCACAGGTAGCAATCACAATCACAGATTTGATGGGCCACTTCGAGTGGTCTCCGCTCCGCTGTATCTGTATCTATATCTGTGGGATCTGTTTTTATCTCCCGTCTTTTGTTTGCCTGTGTTCTTCACTCATTTGACTGCGACTCCGTGTGTGAGTGTCGGCTTCGTTCGGTTTGATTGATAGTTTGTTTACAAATTTAATTTCATTTTACTTATTTTCCTTCTTCGGTCTGTTCCTCTTCTCCCCGAGTGCCTGTGGCATTCACCTGTGTGTTCTCCCCGCCCATCTCGCCTCACTTGCCCCGCCAGTGTTTGTCTTTGGCCCAATGTTTTTCAACTTGGCCAACGAAGCTGGCCGCGCCTTTTATGTGGTCGCCGCCTCGCCGTGTTTGCCTTCTCTTCGGCTGTTTTATATAAGGAGCGCTTCTGAACGACCCATCTCCATAGGCTCCCGAGCGGGAACCATATTAAATGCAATCCATTTGAATGTTCGCCAATTGCGCAATCCAATCACGTAGGCGCCGTAAAAAGGATGCCAAAAACTCTTTCAAAGACTTCATTTGGACTGCCTAATGTGTGGGCGTGACAAGGCCAAAACTTGGGCAATTGTTGCTGCGGCAGAAGTTTCCCCGGGGGACTTTGTCATTCGCTCAGTTCTCAGGTCCTTGATGGGCCATTAGAGAGCGGTTCGCCTCGTTCTCAGGTCGGCAACCCGGGCTATTTGACATTGATTAAAGTAAATATTGCTGCTGGAAACTGGAAAGACCTTGCTAATTGGGAGCGATGAGGAACGCGTTATCGGGTTATTCATTAAAAATCAAAGCGAATTCTCGAGTGATTTCAGCTAAATATAGCGACCTTTATTGACATCCGAGGATATTTTAGGGTTCAAGTGAAATTGGCTTAGCTCAAAGTTTCAAAGGGATGGAATGAAATTCTTGACGTTTGACTCGTTTGCATTGGCAAATTTTATTAAACTTTGAGGATTTGACATGACTTTCCTGTGACATTTAGTTAAAAAAGAACCCTCCCTTGGGGAACATTTCTTTACTTTGCTTTTGGGTAAATATTTTACTCCTCGGTTCTTCATAATCGTCTGCAGTATTGCTCACTCCGAAAACCCCAAAAATGTCATAAATTCACCGAAATCTTCGTCTCGCTTAACTTTTGCATATGCTTGAGTGAATTTCTCGTGTTTGCAAGAGCCCAGAACACCGACCCCAATTAGATTTCTGTCGCCTGCTCCCCAAAAACAATTCCCGGGCTTTATCGTGCTGACTTCCTTCCTGTTTGCCCGAATTGAAAATAATGCACACAGCAATCATTAGACAGCAAGTGCAAAAGGGACCAGAAAGAAGTCCCAATAAATCACAAGACAAAGGAATGGATGTGCGTCCGCAGCAGAAGCGCTCCCGTTCCCAGATCCCAGCTCCCATATCCCATATCTCGTATCCCTTATTCCTTATCCCTTATTCCGATCCTGAACAGAGTTCGTGGGCTGGGTTCTCTGTTGATTCAAGGCTTTAAGTCGCAAGTCGACAAATCACACACGGAAGTGTCCTTTTCTTCGTCGCGTCTGTGTCTTCGTGTCCTGGGATTAGGGAACGCCGTCACCTTGTTAACCTGCAGGCCATTAGCGTAATTCGTTTTGTGTCCCCGTTCGCTGGCATGGGAAACCCGAAAAATGCTGCGACGCCAGACAAACTCAATTCTGAGGTTGTGCCGTCCTGGCACTTCCTCCTCGGCGCTTTCTAGGGTTTCTCCGCACTGCACTCTGCGCTGGGCGACGACAGCCCTAATTAGCAAATTAATTTACGGGTTACAAAAGATCTCGCCCAGAAGACGCCGCTTTGTACTTGTAAATTGCCCGCCACAAGAGGCTGCGGCCTAGGGATCCCCCGAACTAAGACTCTCCCACTTTCAGTGAGCCAGCGGACATGGAGGGGTGCGTCTGACTGCCCCGATCCGAAACCCGTTTGCCCGGAAGCGAGCAATTGACCAGAAGGATGGCCTCGCTGCAGCAGAAGCGCCCCAGCATCAGCAACTGGTTCTCCTCGCTGCGCCGCCAGCCGAAGAACAAGAAGGGCTCCTCCGGCTTGGGAGGCAGTGGCAGCTTCGGCAGCAAGCAGCAGTTGCAGCGCAGCTGCTTCGACCTCTCCTCGAGTGCTGTAGGCGGTGGCGTGAATGTCGGAGTGGGCGTGGGATTCTCCACGGCAGGATCGCCGGCGAGCAGGCGGAGCAACAGCACCTTCTACATCAACCCCTTGAATGTTTCCTCCGCCGGAGGGAAGGACGATCGCCGTCGCCTGGTGGAGACGGGCAGCAGCAGCGGGAGCAGCCTGTCCAGCGTTTGCACCCGCTGCTTCTGCAACCTGCTCGCGAAGAGCGAACAGAGCAAGGAGCCCACCCCCCTGGCCACGCCCACTCCTACACCGAAGGTCTCGCTGAAGCCGCCCGCCAAGCCGCGCTCCCCCTCGCTGGCGCCCTACACCAGCGTGGCCACCTACAACGTCACGAACCTGACGCCGGACAGCCCGCCGCCCGCCAGTCCCTCGCCCGCCACTCCCTCAGCCGGCAGTCCTCCTCCCGAACCAGCGAGTCCATCGCTGAGCACCGAGACGGTGAGCTGCAGCGACGTGACCCACAGGGTCACCCAGCTGACGCGCCTACCCTGCGAGGAGCCCAACACGGAGCTCTTCAGCCGGCGCACGGAGTTCAAGCACACCACCACGACGACGACCACCAGGACGCTGATTGTGTCCCGGCCCGTGGAGCTGCTCCTGAACGAGAAGGGGGAGATCATCGCGAGGAGATCGCCGCGCAAGACGCGCTCCAGCTCCCTGGGCTGCATGCTCGATGTGGAGGACTGCGAGCCGGAAGCGGGTCTTGGCATGGGAATGGACAATCCCGGACTGCAACTGGAAACGGATCCGAGCTCGGGACTGAGTTCACCGCTGACACCCGATGCCGGCGATCTGCGCTTCATCGACGACAGCTCCAACTCGCAGAGCGAATCCGAGCGAAACTCGATCAGCCACAACAACAACAACGACAGTAGTATGAACCACAACAACAACAACAACAACCACAGCAGCAGCAGCAGCAATGGCAGCAGCAAGCGGAGCAGCCAGCAATCGAATCTCTGCGAGAGTTGCCGCACGCTGCTCGAGCGAAACCGCAGCAACGCGGAGCAGAGTGGCAGCCTGGTGATCCTCAGGCGGCCAGGAAAGGTATGCAGCGGGGAAATGGAGGGGAGGAGGGACAGCAACTGCATTCCACACATTCCTCAGTAGAGATTATGGTGCTGTACATGTTGGTTACATGTTCATTTACCCGTCTAGTACATAATCGAGGTGTAAAAGGAAATCAAACCAAAGGAGGTTGAAGTTGAGAACGTTGAAGTTCAAGATTCAGCTCTTATTTCCAACCAACCTTAGTAAATTGGGATGTTGCTCTGAAAATTCCCAAGGAACAACGTTTAATTAAAGAAAACCACAAACAAATTTAGTTTTGGGTAAATTTGGCTATTCATTTGAGCCGTAAAAACTCCACATCGTAAAGTTTGTCTTATTATTAATTTCTAAATTTAAACAAATTTCGTCTTAAGTTGAATTTCTGGTGAAACCCTGTGGACGATTCTGAGCAAAATAAATTTGGGGCTTTCATTGTCTTTTGCTTTTGGCACCTTGTTTTGCCATTTCATATGACAATCAATTTGTATTCGATTCCGTTGGATACGGAGACCCCATCATTTGTGTTTAACTTCCCTGCGATTCGAAGAATTTGCATTGGGGAACCGGTTCCCTCCACTCGCGGCACTTGTTGCTGCTTCTGCGGAACTTCCAAGCGGCATGTTTTCACACTCGTCGGCAAGTCACTTTTACCTGTCGCTGTATCTCAAAGATTCCAGCCCGCTTCGGGTTTATTTTTAAGTTTGACGCTCATTAACTTTGTCTCCCCGGCAGTCGCTCTTTCCTTCAATAAGCCGTGTCCACCTGGGCTTTGTAATCATTGTCGCTTTTAGCCGACCACTGGACTGAGAACCTGTTCATCGTTAAAAGTTTTCATTGGGTTTTATGTATTTTTCTATGGTTTTATGGGGCGTAGCTTGGTAGCTTCGGGGTATCACTGGTTTGTTGATCGTTGTATCGATTGGACCTATGGAAATTTACATAATTTCTTTGCCCAAAAGTTTATTTAAGGATTGTGTTTTATGGGAATTGAAGGGGCAACGGAAGCGGTGTGGAATATGGGTAATGAAAATTAATGGTCTTTAAAGCCTGGGAGACTGTTGCCGAAGGAAATTGAGTCATAAAATTATCAATATTTTAGTTTGAGCTGAGTAAAATATTCAAAAATAAATTATGATGAATGCGGGGAAAATGTTTGTAGCATAAATCAGAATATGGATAGTAATCAAATTCCAAAGAGTAAGTTTTGTGTAACTACTTTTCTTTATTTACTGATCTGAATGTTTGTAAAGTCATCATCATGATGTTCAAAGAATCATTCTAAAAAAATGGTATGTGGCACGCACTGAGAATTAAAATTCCTCAAACTCATTCAATGTCAATGGAATATAAGCATTGGCACCGTTGGGGGATCTATATTCTGACAAGTCACTGACGGGGGCATAAATAAGTTTGCTCATCGAATCCGCGTTCAATGAGAATTTCAATTTCGTTAGGCCCGAGTGAAGGTCCCAGTGATCTCATCGGGAATCTCAACGATCTAAGCAACTGCATGAATTAAGAATCATATGCGTGTAGGCTATTACAGCAGTGGGACAATTTGTCAATTGTATTTTATGACGCTTAATTAACATTTCTCCCTTCGCTGCCGCCCCTTCACTCCGCTCCCGCGAGTCAGAAGGTCACTCGCCGGGGGAAGGGGCTGCGAATGAGTACGGGGCAATTGATATGTTCCGGTCTCGTGGGCCTCTCGTCATTCATGCGTCAACCCATCAGTGTAGTAGCTCGCAGATACAAGATACTTTCCGCACACACTTCTCTTCGGCCTCGCTCGTTCCGCTTCTCCGAGCACCACATCGAATTGACATTCTTGTTCTTCGGAGTGACCCTTGAGGGTCCCCCGCCTCCTCTTCGGCCATGCCCACTTCTTGGGGATCAGTGTCCAGAGGCGACGTCTCCGGTTCAGTGTCAGGTAGTTCGTTAATTCAATTAAATCAGCTTTGCATTGAGTTTTATTGCTCTGCTCTATTTTCCCCAGCTCGGTATTTTTAGCACTAAACGGACAAATTTTAAAATGCTTTCGAGTGAGTCTCTGTCGTTGCTTGTGGTTTCTGGCGCCAGTCCGCAGGCGACACGGCACTGAGGAAATGCAAATTACTCGACTGTCAACTGTGTCTTTGCATAGAATTTATGGCTTTTTCTTCGCAAATATAGAACGCAGTTTTAACAGCAGTCAGTTGAAGTGAACTTTTTCCATTAACTGTGAACCGTCGAGTGCAACCTGTGTTTGCATTCGTATTTATAGCCACACTTGTTGCAGGCACTTCCTCAACCTATTTTTAAATTCGCAGCAGAGTGCAGCAAGTGAGTAACCTTTCCGTTTCTGAATTTCTCGTTTCAGCAAATCAAAGATGAGTTGGGCGAGGTTGTCTCGGAAATGGAGGCGCTCGACGTGCCCGAAGACTGCAAGCATTCCAATAAGGACAAGCAGATGTCCATTGGCCGCAAGAAGTTCAATATGGATCCGAAAAAGGTGAGTGAATAATTGGGAATAAAGGCGTTTAAAATGCCTCCGAATGGGGATGCGGGTTTTCCCTTCCAGCCCTCGAAAAGTTATTGTTCGATGGCGGCTGTAATTTCCTGGTGACTCAGTGCGAATCAATATGCAAATGTGAATTGCTCCAGAGCTCAGTGCAATTGGAGGGGCCTTCCCATATAATCAGACGAAATCCCCTGCTCCAGAACAGCTTATTTGGCAATCAGGAAGGGAGTGTCGCTCAAAGTCGTGAAATGTAAACTTTGCAGATGCGACTATTTAAATGAATTTCCAATGACAGCGGGCGACACCCCGAAGCGACGACAATGAAGTCAGACAAAATGCTTTATAATTGGGCTGATGGGCTGGTGAGAGGGGCACAGACGACACCACAAACATGGTGTGGCAGAGGTTGTATACACATCTCCCGAATCCGAGGAGCGTGCCTCGGCGCCAGAAAGCGAAATTACAATGCAGAATTCGGGGTGGAAGGGAGCGACTCGCGAACACGTCCTTCCAATGATAATTAAATTAATATCGCAATCAGTCCGACAAAAGTGAAGCGATTGCAGTGTGAAGGATGCGAAGGATTTCGAGGGATGGGGATTGTCTATGTGGGTGAGGGCTACAGTTCGTTCACTATCTTAAAATGCTGACAAATTTGACGGTTCGTTGACATCTGAAGTACGTGCGTGTGCGCCTCCCTCCTCGTCCCTCAAATACGATGCACCCCTAGAATGCTCAAGTGTTTAATTTAATGGAAATGTCAATGTCGCAATATTACCGAGAACTTGACAGGGGAGGATGCCTAGGGGCATCGTGCTGAAAGACAAACCCAGGGAAAGAGTAATTCGGGGTACGAAGAGTACATACCAGATAAATACACAAATGGGTGCATCATTCACCTCATTAAAATCATTTAGAGATCTCGATCTAGAGAGCGAGCGATAATTACTTTTACGTATGCGACAGGCCCTTTAGATATTATTCCTGTTCCAAGAAGTCTTTAAATAAACGTTCTCCTGAAATTGTAAAGGTTGAATGATATATACTTATATTTTGGAATGTAAGCACAAATATTTTCGTTTTTAAAGGGAAGGGAGGAAGCTAAACGTACAGCCCAGCTATATTTAAAATTCATTCTGCAAGGCACATCAAATATTGATAACACTTTGGAGCACCTACATCGGTGACCCACATGTCAACATGTTTTCCTGCTACCCATGTCTCAAACATCTCAATTTCCCCTCCATATCTCCGCGCATTCCGCAAACCCCGCTGTTTTCCGTGGCCCGACTCGTTTAAAGCCAATCAAATATTTACGTCAACCTCTCTTGGCCATAAATTAACGTCGACAAGTCAAAATTAGGCCACGCAGCTTCCAGCAAAAAGCCAGCACATCCTGCCCGGCATTCCGGATATCTGTAGGGCGCACAATAAAAATGCTAATCCAAAGTGGATGTGGGAGTGTCTATGTGCCATAGATGGCGGAATAACAAAAGCCCAATCGAATCCCGGCCAGAGACGAGATGTTTTGTCGTCGCTTATTAAAAAACTTCCGCACGACAATGTGCCACGGGGTGGCATCAGCGGAGGATTGGAGGAGCCTTCTGTGGTGGTGGAGGTTGTGGTGTCGCCGTCATTTGTCGCTTTATCGTCCGATTATCAGCAATATACGCAAACAGATCCACACACGAACACTCAAATTAATGGCACACAAATGTGCCATCCATAACGCTCAAACGATGCCCCCGCAGTGGGGGATTGTGCGAGGTTCGGATTGGGGGAGGGAGTGGGCGCCTCCAACTAGGCGACGTTAATCGCGCGTGAAGCTTCCGAAGTCACGCAAAACTTTCTGACTAGCAGCTTGGATAATCTCGGCGGGAAAACAGGAGCGGACTTATGCGGCTAAGGACCTCAGTCCACCCAGCCCTTGCACCACCCACTTTTCCATCCTGATTTGTCATTATCGACATCATTTGCGTTATTGGAGTTTTCCCCATGTCATTCTTGACTTGACTTCTATCTGAAAATCCAATCTGCGAAACGCCTGACACTGTTGTGGCGCCACCTGGCGGGCGGTGGCAGAGGCTTCGGTCATGGCAATTCGTTACTATTTATTCTGATACATTTTTGTTTACTTTTAATAATTCTAGATGGGTTTCTGTTGGTTTGCGTGTGTTTTGCTCGCGTTTCGCCAGCTTTTATCGCAAGTGGTTGAGCTTCTTCATTGATTGGCAAATAATGACATCGTTATAGTGGGGCGCTCCCTCTTTGTTCTGCTTTGATTTTCCCTATTTCTTCTTTATTGAGATTGCTTTGGTTTTGTTGCGGGTCGCTGGCTTCAAATGCATGCATTTATATATGGGTACATTATGTGACTCGATTTGCTTCTTGTTCTATGTTGATGGCTTGTGTTGCCGGGAGCATTTCCAAAGATTAAAAAGTCCGGATTGCTTATCAGAATATTCTTTTACTAAACGTTCACTACTTTTTGTTTCAGGCATTGAATATCTCGTAGAGAACAGACTGCTTCGTCACGATCCCCAGGATGTGGCGCATTTCCTCTATAAGGGCGAGGGACTGAATAAAACGGCCATTGGTAAGTTAAAATAGCCAGAAGTCATTAAATTGACCTTGCTTTTATGGCCTTCGCCAAAAGAAAGACAAAACAAGAAAGGAAGCTAGCTTCGGCAAGCCGAAGCTTATATACCCTTGCAGTCATCAAATATGTCGAACAAAACGCATAAAGGCTAGACAACATCGAATCTAAGACGATTTTTCTATTCATTTTCCATATTTTTGACTATAGATCATATGGAAGCTATACGATATAGGTGTCCGATTTTGATCAAATTTAATTCGTAATTCAAGAGTCGTAAGAAAACTCTATATTCCAAAAATCATACTTGTCTGATGAAAAATAACGATATTATAATTTTATTTCCATTATTTCTATATAGATTTTTCGATCTTTCCTATGGCAGCTATAAGATATAGATGACCGATTGTTATGAAACTTTTTTCCAATATTAACGTTGTTAAAAAACTTGATATTCAAAAAATCATGCTCGTGGGATAAAAAACAACGATGTTATCAATTTATTTCCGTTAATTCTATATATAATTTTCAATCTCTCCTATGGCAGCTATATGATAGTGTTATCCGATTTTGATCAAATTTAATCCGAAATTCAATAACAGTTAGAAAACGCCATCTTGAAGAATTCAAGTCGATCTGATCAAAAACAACGGCGTGAGAATTTTTTATTTCATTCTCTCATATGGGAGCTATCCGATATAGTCGGCCGATCCGGCTCGTTCCGACTTATATACTGCGTGCAATAACTACACACCTTTTGGGAAAGTTTCATCCAGATAGCTTCAAAACTGAGAGACTAGTTTGCGCGGAAACGGACAGACGGACAGACGGACAGACGGACAGATGGACAGACGGACAGACGGACAGACGGACAGACGGACAGACGTACATGCATATTTGGATTCTGATCGTGATGCTGATCAAGAATATATATACTTTATGGGGTCTGAGGTGTCTCCTTCACTGCGTTGCAAACTTCTGACTGAAATTATAATACCCTTTTGCTCTGCAAGGGTATAAAAATCAATTATACGCACCGAAAACATACATTTTAATGGTTTTTCTCTTCCAGGCGATTACCTCGGCGAAAAGAACGATTTTAATGAGGATGTGCTGAAGGCCTTTGTGGCGCTCCACGATTTCACCAATCTCATTCTAGTGCAGGCCCTCAGGTAGGTCCCCCCACCCACTCGCAATTACCACTATCGCTAATGACACTTTCCCCTCCCCGCTTTTCACTTTCACAGACAATTTCTGTGGTCGTTTCGCTTGCCCGGCGAGGCGCAAAAGATCGATCGCATGATGGAGACTTTCGCACAGCGCTATTGCCAACTCAATCCGGATATATTCACCAACACGGACACGTGCTACGTGCTCAGCTTCGCCATTATAATGCTCAATACATCGCTGCACAATCCATCGGTAAGTACTAAAGTTGAAAGCTGTTAAATTAAATAATAAAAACTCAATGCATTGGCTTTATAGTTTATAGTTTATTTTATATAAAACCTCCATTGACGTAACATGTTTGAAACAGTTTGCTAATTTTGTGTTTTGGCATGAACTTCGGGTTATTTAGCATCCCGTTTTTTCAACCGGATGTTGCGGGGCAGCAGGAAGCTGTTGCTCATGCCAAAACCAAAAAAAAAAAGAAAGAACCAAAGAAAAATGCACGACGCGTGCCCCGGTCTGTCCTTCAACTGTGAAATTGAATTCTTATTTGAGAACATAGCTATTTACTTCCGCATTTCGCCTTCACATTCTCTGTGTGCCCCAAAGTCTTGGGCTTTCCTCCGAACGAACTTTAAGCAATTACCAATTGATGGTGCGACTATAAATAAGTGAAAAGTGCAACACAAACACTACTGAATTTTGCTTTGCATTTTGAGAACGATGAGCACAGAAGCAGCTAATTAAAAGAGATTTCATATGCAGACAAACATTCTTTATGCCTTATTCGTTCTTTCCTTGTTGGGGCGTTATTATGTCGTTTTGTGATCTATATGCTAATCCTTGATTTCGCTTTGATTTTGACAGGTTAAAGACAAACCCACCGTTGAGCAGTTCATCTCGATGAATCGTGGCATCAACAACGGCGGAGATTTGCCCCGCGGCCTGCTGGAGTCCCTCTACGAGTCCATTCGAACGGAGCCATTCAAAATACCCCAGGACGACGGCAATGATCTGATGCACACCTTCTTCAATCCCGACAAGGAGGGCTGGCTGTGGAAGCAAGGCGGCAGGTAAGTTGATCATTTAGCCCTTAAATTCTCTGCTGTCTAGCTAACGAATGCATTTTATTTTGCTGAAGATACAAATCGTGGAAACGACGTTGGTTCATTTTGAACGACAATTGCCTATACTATTTTGAATACACCACCGATAAGGAGCCGCGCGGCATTATCCCCCTGGAGAACATATCGGTGCGCGAGATCCACGATCGCAGCAAACCGCACTGCTTTGAGCTGTTCGCCACTGGCGGTGCTGACATCATCAAGGCCTGCAAGACTGACTCCGAGGGAAAGGTGAGTACTTGCCCTATAAGTAGCCTGTATTAAATACTAAATACATATATTAATTCCTGTTTCAGGTGGTGGAGGGCAAGCATACGGTGTACCGCATGTCCGCTGCCACGGAGGAGGACCAGCAGGAGTGGATCAAGCGCCTGACGCAGTCCATCAGCCACAATCCGTTCTACGACATCCTAGTACAAAGAAAGAAAAAGGCGCTCAGCAAGAGTTAATATTAAGACAGAGCTCGGCGCAACTTGTGTCTTGGATCTCAGTGAAACTCTGCTACGCGTGTGTGGCTGCTCTCTCCTTTATTTAAACAAGTGCTTGTGCATAAACCTAAATTATATAAATTAATCGCTGTATGTGTGTGCGAATTTCCATGTAAGCCAATGCCTGTAAACAGATCACATCGTGGTTTGCCCTGTCCCAATTATGTCTTTGTATTCTGTTTGATTGACTCGAAACAAGCCATCACACGCCGACGCACTTCGAACCACAAACTTTGTCTCTATTGTTGTGATATAATTTATTTACATTAAGCATTAACAATACGAATTATATGAAAAATAACTGAAAATTGCATCAATAAGAAATATACATTTATACACATTTTCATTAGTGCAAATTTTTGTTTAGTTTCATTTTAGGCGTAAGTCTACGAATATGTCTCCAGTTTAGCGTTTACCACCTAAGTTGTCCCACCACCCTTTATTGTAGAAATCCTTAGTGCTATGAAACATATCCCAGCCACCAAACGCTGTTGTAGTGCTGAAGTTTATATATATGTATATGATTATTTGATGCAAATGAAAACAGCGTGAACAAGTTGCTTGGCAATAATTGTAAAACCAATTACATAAAATAGGTGCAAGCTACAAGAAGGCCTTTTGAGAACCTTAAGCTCAAGCTAACAACGAATGAAAATTAAAATGTGTAAAAAGTGCGACTGTTTATTTAACAGGTCCAATACATAAATGCAATCCGAATGCGAACAGGTTTGTTAAAGAAATTTTGGAGTAGGCAAACTAAGTTTATGGTTAACCAAAGATCTGATTTCAACTATTACAATATGCCAACTTCCAACTCCAATAAACACTTTCATTATGTATTTAAAATATTTATTTGTCAATTGAAAAGTGTTTCGAAAATGCATTTTGTTTGGAGTTTGTTAATTTAAATAGTAAGAAACGAGCCAACCGCAAAGTGTTCCAGCCAAAGTCGAATTCGCATACAATAAATTTCGGTTAGCGTATTATAAACAGCACACTGATGATAAATGTGTAAATAGGAAATGTCAGCAGTTCGAAAGATCAATGAAAAAACTCGGTTGCCAGCATAAATCTTATGATAGCCGTAAGATGCTGTTATATGTAATAGTAGATTGTGTGTTGAGCCTTTGTGATACCATTGATGGGAAAGCGCTCCTAGCAGATCCTGTGTGGTTTGCTATGTTTCGAGACTGAGGGATAAACTTTATCACATCACATTTAATAAACCCACTTGCATCGATCGTCAATGTCAACTGACATCTTAGCATATGGTTTGAATTTCCACTTTGGGACACGCTCATCATTTGAACTATCTTGAAAAAGCAGTCCCAAACGATTTTGCAATATATAATTAATAATTTAGCTAGCATTGTATATCTACTTCAAATAACCCTACGGTCTTTATTTTTAAATATATATGTGTATTATATCTTTGGTTACTCTTAATTAAATGTAAATAAATGCGAAATACATTAGTGCTTAATTCTGAGAGGTTTATTATGTTCCATACAATGTTTGTTCTATATATGGGTAGTAAATTAAATTGTCTAGGTTAAGCGTACGTTTTGAATGCGTTCGTTTTAGCATTTCTAGCAAATAGAAATCAGAAGTTTGTATATATTGTCATAACAACTCAATGTTAAATACATAAGTTCGCCAGTAAACTATAGTGTAGTTTAGTATTTTGTATTGCTTTAACAGTAACAAGAACAGATAATTATACAAAATTATATTTAAACATCAAATAAATATAAATATTATATAACGTTTATTAAAAACAAAAACAATGGTTTTGCCTGATTTTCTCGATAGCATCGCAACTTCATTGAAGGATTTGGTAGACTATTAAAACAAGTAGCAAGTCACCTCGTTACAAATGAAGTATGTTCTTAAATTTGTTGGGTATGCTTTATTTAACAAAAAAGAAGTACCAGAAATTTTATCGTCTCTAGCCAAACTTTATCTACTTATATTTCTTATTGCACTGGTTTAGCTGTAAAATTTCTTTAACAATTTTTATTAAAGTTAAATTTCTTATTAGAAAAAAACTAATTCATAAATTTTTATTGATTTAAGTTTTTTTATTTCAACCATTAGCCGAGACACAAACCAAATTTCCGTATATCAATATCATCAATAGATGAAAGGAATGTTAAAAAAATTTATTTAAACAAAAGAGAAAGCTAACTTAGGCAAGTTAATGCTTATATACCTTTGCATCTAAAACATAAATTATATATATCACTCATATTTTAATTATCAGGTTTTAGGATTATCTTATAGTTCTTCTCGAATTCGAGTTCTTAAAATCTTAAGATCGGGTTAGGTCAATTTTATCTAAAGTTCTTTCAGTTCTTATGGCAACTATGAAATATAGTCATCCGATCTTTTACAAAAATTATTTTGTGTCTCCAAAACCAAACAAATTGTTATGTCGCGAGCTTCAACGAAGTTATGACGATTTTTCTATAAATTTGCTACTGTTTTTTATTGTACCTAAAGCAGCTGAGATATACATTTTTTATTCGTATTTCTGAAAAATTACAACAAATCTAAAAATTTTAAAATAATTTTATATTAAAATATTTAAATAAATTTAGCTATAATTTGTCCACTTCCTCTGATAATTTTTGTCAGAAGTTTGCAACACAGTTAATAAGATATGTATTTCTAACCAGATAAGTGATTTACAAATACTAGATCGGCATCTCCTTGCCAATCGATATAGACCTTCTGTCCCTCTGCTTGTTTCCAGGCAACGTTTCTCAGTTTTAGGCCTATCTCGCTTAAACTAAACCTTAAATTCCAGGATTTTTGAGTTTTCTTATGAAATTCAGAAATGCCACTGTGCATACCATCGAAAATAAGAAAACACTGTTGAAGTCTGTCAGTATTTAATATTTATTCCACATTTCTTTTAAATTCTTACATTAGTTCGCAGTTGTTCATATCGTTTGCTGTATTATGGGTTCGGAGCGTATGTGTTTATGGGGATGCGTTGGAGTGGGCGATACCGAGTTGAGCAGAAAGCCGATTACGGTAAAAAAAAAAATTCCGAGTTGAGCAGAAACGATTTTTGGACATAAAAAATGAACGTCCGAGTTGAGCAGAAACGATTTTTGCACATAAAAAATTAACGTCCGAGTTGAGCAGAAAACCGATTATGGTAAAAAAAAAACAAAAACATCCGAGTTGCGCATGAACGCCTTTTCCACATAAAAAACCAATGTCAGAGATGCCACAAAATCATTATTAATTAAATAATTTAATTTTTCAAAAAAATGGTTCTTTTTTTAGTTTTCAGTTTAGTTTTTTTTTTTTGAAAAATTACTTAATAATCATATAGCATATGTATGTCAATTTTCTGCTCAACTCGGCTAGCCCCGTTGGAGTGTTAACATGTCTGTTAGTGTCGGTGTGTGTTCAACATTGGTTACGGTTGCATTTATGGGTTTGTTATTAATAACTTTCACTTAACAGCTCACATATTTATTTACGCTTTTCTTCTGCGTTGTGTTTTCCAATGCATATATTTAAACTATAGTAAGCAGCTAATACGCCGCAATATTTATTTATCGTTTAAATTTATGTTAATGTTTATAAAACAATTTGTTCATAAAAAACTAATTACAAATAGGCGTACATATTCACTCCACATAGCTCTTCCTCCACTAAATTACATGGTTGGCCTTTAAATGAAGTGTTGATTTCGTGTCGAATTCGAATTATTTACAATATCCTTAGTGGTAGATTGATAAATGCAAAACGAAAGCAAGTTCAGTGCTATAAACTGACGATGGAATAGTCAAAGGTGCGTCTCGATAAGGTTACCTCCTTCTCTTTGCTATATGTACATGGTAATATTCTTTTTTGTTCACATTAGGTAACAGTGCGGATTTGTTATAATAATCGTAGGCTTTGTGGTTTCAGCTGATAAATGTATGTTTAATGGCTAGTCGGAGATATTTGCTAAAACATTTCAACTACTTTTTGTGGGCCATTTGAGTCAGCAGTAAATCGAATCATGCGCATTTCTTACGCTCCTAAACTTAAACTTCCATTATTCGCTAGGTGAGCTTACCCCTAACTCTTTTACCATATTTTTATGTTTTTGTTTTTGACTCAAGATTGTGTAACATGCATTGCGTTTGAATATTTTGAGGCGTAGTGAAAATTCAACCTAGTCATCAGTTGTCGCGTGCTGAAGTTAGTAGTGCTTCAGGTCATTAAAGTTTAAAGGTTTTAATTGCTTAAAGCAAAGCTGCTGCGATTGACCTGCTCACACGACCAAATCAGTTGATTGGCCAGAGGGAACGTGTCTAGGACAGATCTAACAATACTTATGCCTTCTCCCGTGATCGAACGAATATATCTAACTAGTGTCTGCCTCGACCGAAAACAATATGAGTTCGCGTGAGTGTGGTGTGCCTGGCAATACATACATATGGATAAGTTTTACTTTATATCTTGCTATAGTCGTTAGAGTTACGGTACTTAGAGTAACTGCTTGCAGAATTCGTAGACCTCTCCTTCGTTCGGTAGGCCGCAGTGGAGCTAATGGAATATATATTGGTTGGACTGCAGCTGCGTCTGCTGGCAGGATCCGCAGCACTTCTCCTTGTAGCGGTGCAGGCGGCACAGCCCCATGGCGCGGGCGTTGCGGCAGTAGCGCGACGAGTCGCGGCAGTGCAGAGCGGACGAGGACGAGGACGAGGACGACACTGTGGATGGGAAAACGAAAGTGTTAAGTGCAATCCAACAGGTTGAAAGAAGTGGCACAGATATGTTGTATAGAAGAATCTCTTGTAATAAGTTCAATAAATGAATAAAAGAAATTTACAAATTTACAAGTCCCTATACTTTCAATTAACTTGCCAACTTTAACCGAAAACCACAGAGGTAGTCAAAAAGATTAAAAAAAAAACAACGTCCACCCAATTTAAAAATTGGTACATTGCACAAATTTTACCATTTTACCTTAACTATGTTATCAAACAAGAAATATTCGCTGACAAACAATATAATATGTGTGAAAAATAAAATATGTTTCGCTCTAAAACTTAAAAATTTGACATTGGATTTAAAAAACATAAAAAATTTTTTCAGCCACCTTTAAAAATAGTTATACAAAACAGCTTGTTTAGTTTAATGAATGTTAAATGAATAACAAGAAATATAAAATTCAGTTCAGTGTATTTAGTTTTGCTTGCAAACAAAGTAACTCAAATACGGCTTTGCATTTATTGGCATTGTCAGTCTGCTCCACTTCCTAATCCTGTCTGTCTGTCTGACTGTGTTTCCCCTTTGTAGGAGCAATCGATCGGTACTCACTCTTGGCCTGGCAGGGCGGGCTCTTGCAGACCTTCATGACCGGGGGGCGTGGCTGGTGCTTGCACACGTTGCCCGCTGGCCGGCGACTGCCGTACCAGACGCACTGCAGGATGCGGTACTTGATGCCCTGACGGCCGCAGGGCGCATTGCACTGAGAGGAAAGGGGAGTGAGTGGAGAAAATTAATATTTAAACAGGGCTAAGGAGGGATGCGAGACCCACCTCGGACCAGGGCTCCACGCGCCACACGCCCTTGCAGCGCTCGTTGTAGCAGTCCTGCCGCGTCGCCGGCCGCTCGAACTCGTCGCAGGCGCTGCCCAGGGTCCCGTTATCGTAGCGGCAGGACACCTCGCGGCGCTGCACGGCCGTGTTCCTCCCGTGGCAGCGGGACCGCTGGCAGGAGCTCCACTCGGCCTTGCTCCACTGCGGACAGGGCTCGTTGCCGCAGCTCCGGAACGAGTCGGGCAGCTCCAGGCCGTGGGCGGTGCACTCTGAATTATCCACGACGTCGTTTTCGTTGTCGGCATTGGAGTCGCCACCGCCGCTCTTTGCCGCTTTCTGGCAGTTCACCGAGCGCCGCTGGGGATTGACGGGAGAAGTGAGTGAGATTCCTTTGTTACTTTCCACCAACGACACATAAAACAAGCGACATTAAGGACCTCTGACTGCTGAAATATGTAAGCCTGCTCTTGAGTTTATGGGTCCGCTGGAGCCGGGACTCGGGGATCCCGTGCCTTTGGCTAATTATTGCATAAATGTCGTCGGCTGCCGTGGGACGCATTTCTCTTTCCATTTTATGATGTTCTGCTTGCTTTGGGGATAAAGCGAGCGAAAAAGCGGGTCTTTTCTTGAAATAAATCGCTTGAAATATTTAATACCTTTCAAAAGGGGAGTGAAGTTAAGAACGTAATAACCACAGCCATTAATGCCTTTCATTTGAATTAAGAAGTGCAACTAAGTTGATAATGGTTTTATAAGTCCGCACTTATCCTTGCCACTGTATGTGATGTATTAGAAATGGTTCACTGGGTTTGTAGAGGCTATGGCTGCTCGAAATCAAATTCGGAACTCACAGATTAGGATTGACAGGTTGAGTTCCCACCCAGCATGTGGCCGCCTACTTCTGGCATCGACTCACTGTTCATTAGTCAGAGGGGCAATGCGCCGGTCCTGGCAACCACTTGACTCACCTGCAAGCCGCTGCCAGCTGCCCCGCACTCCTGCGAGCACCTGGACCACTCGCCCACCACCCACTTGAAGAGGAAGCCGCCGCTCTCGAGGCTCCCAGCTGGAACCGAGACCGCCGTCGTGGTGGTTGCCACTGCAGTTTCCCACCGGGCGTGTGGCATGTGTGGCGGAACGTCCTTCGCCTTCGCCTCCGCATCTGTTTCTCCTTCTGCATCCCCCTTTCCCTTGGATTCTGGATTGGAAGGGGAGTCGGTGCGAATGGGTCCTGCCTCGGAGTGCAGCTCCTTGGTCGTGGCACGCACCGGTTCGTCCTGCTCGAAGTGCCCGCCCTCCAAATCGACGCCGTACTTGAGCGCCTCGCCGTGGAGCAAGTGCTGGCCACGCGAGTCCTTGAATCGCTGCAGCGGCCATAGAAACTGTTTGGGGTGAAAGGCGGTTAGTTCCGCAGTTGAATACCTCGCTCATGCACCTCGGTCCAAGCCAGTCGTCGTGTTTGCTGCTGTTCGATATGCCAGGCCACCTCGTTTCCGTTTCCGTTTCCATCGATCTGCTATACGAGTGTGTATGTGTGTGTGTGCAAAGTGGGCGGGAAGAGCGGGAGGCGGATAGGTGGGATGCTTCATGCATGCACACTTGAATTACCCTCATCAATTGCTTCACGTTGACTGACTACGAACTGCCAAATCCGATTAGCCAGCCACCGAGCCTCCGAACAGCGAACAGCGAACAGCATCCCAAAAACCCCTCTAAACCCCCCCTCCCCTTCTCTGCCCTCTAATTTTCCCTTTCTGCGAGTGGCGGGAATTTGACTACCAAATGCAGCCGTGGGTTTCCCGACCCAAAATCCCCTGTCAGCCAGCAAACTCGGTTTGTTCGTCCCACCTAGATTAGCCAGCTGGTTACAACTCTTGAATTCCTACTGTACGACTGTAATTTAATAATGCTGCTCTTTGAATAGTGTTCGCTAAAAGAAAGGGAAGTTCTAAATACAGCAGTGAATTGAAAGTAGAGAACCCAAAAATATATGCACACTTCTGCCGGAACAATAAATTCTCATGGACAATATAGAGTGCGAAGAACTGAAGCAGTTCCCTCGATTTCCCAAACTGCACTCAGCTTAATCTTCGAACCGAAACACCCGAACGACATCGTAAATTTCGTTTTTCGAATGTCGTAAAGTCTCATAATTTCGTGTGCGGCACGGAACCCCAACCCGCAACGTATCCCCGAAAATTGTCCTTTGCCCTGTGACTCCGATGTTCCGATGCTCCGATGGCTCCCCCGCAACTCCCCCCTGGATCCATTGTCAAACACCACGCTCCTGCCAACGTCAACGTCATTTCTCTGGTCGTTTGCATTTACAGCTGCCCAGAGCCGATGCCGCAAAAGGATTGGATGGGTGGGTGGTGTGGGTGGCTCTGTTCTGCTGGGCGGAGTGGTGGAAGGCGGAGGCACACAAAGATGATTTCCCAAGTGCCACTTGAAGCCGACAAATGCGCTTGCATAGTTTCTGCTGTTGCTGCATTGTCGGCTGCATCTGCTGCGCTTTTATTTGCCGCTCCCCCCTTTGTCATTTGTTGGCCAACACGAACACAGAGCAGGAGCGACAATGACAATGCCACCCCCTCCCCCCTCCCCCTTTGACACCCCTCCACTGCCTTTTATTGTTGTCACCGCAATCGGAATCGTTGCCTGTTGTTCCTGCCGCTGCTGCTTGGCTCTTGTCAATATTGCAGCGCTTTCGAGTGGACTGAGTGGAGGCTGTGGGCGGATAACAATGGGGCGTGGCCCGATTGGAATTTTCGGGGATTTTTGGGAGGCTTTCCAGACGCACCCCCACTCCCCCTCGACTTCTCATTCCCTTCGCAGTGGCAACTGTAATTAGCACAAGGCTTTTGCCCTGTTTTTGGCAACCAAGTAGTCGGATTATTGTTTCAGATTTAATGGCCATTCGGTAGATACTTGTACACAGACCGGAAGTGTGGTTTCCGCTTCTGCCCGAATAACCAGAAGTACTTTCTGATCAGAGACGTCTTATCAGGAGAACAAGGAGGAGTCTGCAGCTCGGAGTTTCAGTGATTATTGAGTGGAAATTGGTAGCAGAGAAGATCAATTAATTAATGACCAAACTCAGTGTGGTTATGCCAAGTGGGTGTTTTACTTCTTAGGCCGTAAATCAGATTTACTTTTGGCTGATAGTTATGGATGCCTTTAACTACTTCAAGGGAAGTGCCATTTATCCTGAGATTCGAATAAACTGTCGCAATATAATCGTTTATGGTTTTGTGTACACCTCATTAATATGAGCATTTATATCTCCGACTCGACTGTTAATTATGTGGCAAGTTTGAACGACTTCCAGTCGCCTTCGTCGCCCAGGACTTAACTGCATTCAATACACACAGCAGCGACTCATTAGCAACTTTCGCCCATGCTGCCAGCCGCATTGGACCACGCACATCGTTAAATTCTCACGCCTGACAGGCGAACTCGCTGCCGGAGACAGCCGGAGACCCCGGCCAAACCGAGCTGAAGTAAGCCGGGCCCAAACCCAAACTCAAACCGACCAAAACCCAACCGACCAAGCCAAGCCAAACGGAAGCGATGCAGTTTTCGACTGCGATGTGTGCTATTTCGTTTAATTTAACTTTAAATGCGCGCCGCCTGCGAATAAATAAAACACGCGCTGTCTGAATGGGGGAAAATCAAATGCAGCGGCGAGTGGCAGCAAATGGCATGGAGTTTAAGTGGAGCGCGGCTAAAATGCCTCGGAGGCTGGGGCCGGCGGATGCGGCACCCTACATCCTGCCTCCTGCATCCTGCATCCTGCATTCCGCATCCTGCGGCCCTCGTCCTGCCATTAATAAATAGTTGCAATCAAAATTAAAAGCCGGCACTGCTGGCGCATTTGCCTGTTTTAAACCGTTTACGCCCGACATGACGAATATGTGGCACCAGCGAAAAAGGGGCGTGGCTGGTGTAAAGGACCTCCGGCTGTGCAAATTTATTATCGCGCTTTGGCGCGCCTCAGGCCAAGCCGCAACCAAACGAAGCCAAACGAATCCGCAGCCAGCTAAACGTGATGTTCGCGGCAACTAAAAAAAGAATTAGTTGTTCGGAGTGGGCCCAGCGAAATATAATTAATAGGCCAAATGCTGTTCCATAAATTACAGGAGGCGAATGTCGGGACAGCCTGCAGTTACTTAGCTAATTGGGAATGCGCAAGGCAAATCCAACTAACCCTGTTCCGGTCACTGGATGACCATGATGAAAGTGCATTATCCTGCCGAGGCAATAATTTGTTTTCCGATGGCTAATCAATGGTATAATTCAGGTGCCAGACGCCAAGGGAAACCTCACTGGCTTTATTAGCAGGATGCTGCTAATGAGCATCTCTAGAAATTCACAGGCAACAATGCAATTAAACATGGAATGGCCAGGACTTGCATTCACAGATACTCAAATGCGAATGCGAAGGAAGCCCGGTTAATAAGGACAGCAAATGAGTGATGAGGTGGACGCTTGTGGCCTCCACAAAGAGCCTATCGCACCGACTTGAAAGTGAATGGCTCGGATAAATGGCCCACTTCAGCGATGCAAGATATTAATTAGCCAAGAAGTCAGAGAACGACAATAATCGCCTTAGCAAATCAAAACTCTATTCATGCTTGAGTTTAGCTGTCCATTTCAAACCTTTTCATAAAGGTTTTAAAACAAAGATGGAGTTTCTGTGTAGAAGTATTTGCAAGCCAGTATGATTTCTTAGGCTTGAAGAACAAGTTATAATAGCCCATAAATATTTTATTTAATTAGCTTGCAAACTTTCACGCCTGCATAAATACTGCACAAATTTGCACAAATGTCACATAAAGCTCGACTTTAACGGGCTTTCGCGGCGACCGAATGAAATGCAAATAAATTAAATATTTAACCATTATGAGAAATTATCATTACGAGCAGCGAGGCGCAAAAAGCGAGCGAGTTGCAGGACGAGGGACGAGGGGATGCGGGTGCCGCAAAGAGTTAATCAATGCGCCGCAAACTCTCGCCCCAAATTGTTTTATTGTCACCCGCACACAAATATTCCGGACAGTTGGCATATGCACACGAGTATATGGAATACTATATATAGTTCGCCAGTGTGGGAAGCTTTCTGGCGGCCTTTAAACCACTGCATATTTTTAGTGGTTTGCGGGTTGCTGTGCTCGTATCACTACGGGAATTGGCTGCGAAAATGCCGCCGAAATTAGTTATAATTGCCCTCTCTATTTGGCTGATTGTATCACTCTGCGAGCACTTGCAGCTGTGTTGGTGGGGGAGTGGGTGTTGGTGGGGGGGTGTGGCTTACAATTTTCCGGTAACTAGCTTTGATAAATGCCGCCCGAAAGTGTCGCCGTATCACAAGGCCCGCCCACTCCGCCAGGACACGCAGAACTGCACTCGGAGCACCCGGGTTCAACTTCGTTCCGCCGGATCCTGCGACTCGCCTGGCCGGGCATCATAAATTATTTTTGCCTAATCTGCATACTGGGACGGGAGCGTCTGCTCCACTCTGCCACTCCAGCAGTTCGGCTTTCGGCTCTCGGTTGGTTTGTGCGGTAATATTTGGTGCCGCCCTTTCCCTTTCCCAGGATTTCGAGTTGATGCTTTTTCGTCGGATGGAGTGTGCCGGCGTAACTGGCACTCCGTGAAAACAACATTAAATGTAGTTGAATATCTCAGTATTTAATATTGAGTATGACATATTTTTATGCCACCTATGGTTTCTTGAACTTTTATTTCAGTAAGATTGGAATGGAAGATTATTTTCAGGGTCTAGTTAAATTTTGTCAGTGTTCTATTCCTCTTCAAAATAAAGTATTTCTAGCATAGAATCTACTGCAATATCAATGGCTTTAGACTTTATGAGAGTGGTAAAATATGTCGATACTCCAAAAAAAAAAGAAAATCTGCCCCACTTGAGCTCACCAGCATTCTATCTGAACTGTATCCACAAATCAGCAGCTGATGCCTGTCTTCATGCCTCATTTTTATGGGTGAACTTTTCCTTTCCTTGCTCGGTTTTAGCAGTGTGCTGCTGGCCTGGAGAGTTTAATTTATTTTCTATTGCATTATAAATTTCTGCTAAAAACCGCGACTCTTCCGAGCACACATGCTCTCGGAATCGGTCTGTTGGCAGGTGTAAAGGCAGCAACCCGTTGACTGATAGCTAAACTCTAAGCCAAAATTAGTTGTTTATCGTTATTTACATAACTTTTTTGCGGTGAAAGGGATAAAGGCAAAGTTATACAGGATACCAACCGCCCCCACGAGTCGTTTATTAAAGAATAAACTTTTGAATTATTCAATTTAGTTGCTAACAAAAGTTTTTCTTTTGTTCGGAGTGCTGAAAAAATGAATAGGATTTCCCCTAGCTTTTCCGGTGAGCACGACACTTAATACCCAGCATATCGAACATCAACAAATCGACGAATAGCTTGCGGCACTTCTAGTAAAAATGTTATTAATTTAAATATATGTATCTTTATAAATATATTAACAATAGTATAATAGTTGGATAAGTGTAAGTATGCTATCATGCAACAAAAGATGTGTTTTGAATATGTAATTTAAAATATAATGAACTTTTTAACAAAGAGTTAATTACCTAAACGTGAAAGCATAATAAAATACATTACGTTATAGAGAAATAGTTTTAGGATCACCAAAGACGTATTCCACGAAAAATAAATTTTTCTATAATACGATTAAATAACGATTGCATTTATTCGCTATGTTTGCCAATTAGATTTATTCTGTGTTAAGCTTAAATGTTGTTTTGTTGAATTGTTTTTTTTTGTGGTTCTTTAATATCATTTGCATAAGTTAATTATTTTAAACAACGGTCTTATTTACACGTATTTAATGTGAATTGCAGTATTGGATATTATCTCACAAGTTTGTTGAAACAGCACTATGAAAATTAATGAAAGGCAACACGTTTGATAGTCAGTTGATAATGTTTTCATTGCCGAGACGCAAAAAATAAACTTTAAAAAAGCAGCGAGCAAATTTGTCCTGAAATATTTCTTTGTGCATTCTCCGCCGATTTTTTGCTTTTAAATTGGCGACATGCATTTTTTCGGCTGGAGTTGACTTTTGCGTGTTTTGGGTGGGACTGAACTAAAGCTTCTTTTCACCCATTATGCCAATTGTTTGCTCATTTTACAATGTATAAAAAGCCAGCAAAAAATTTCTTTGATGGCGGGCGCGCAAAAAGTTGCCGGAGGGCGAATTTCGGGAGAGGATGGACAAATTTCATAGAGCGCTTTTAATTAAATATTCCGCGGTACCAATTTCATGCCTTCGGGCTGTTTTCATGGGATATCATGGCTATTAGGTAAACTGTTTACGCGCTCTGTGATCGCCGAGGGTAGAGTGAAAAGTGTTTGGTGTGTAGTGGAGTCAGGCAAAAAGGTTTGTATAACTGGAGAGTTTTACCTACGTTGCATTCGTTTTGGTTTGGGTATATTCGAAATTGGTTCCCGTTTTGTTATTTTTGTATGTTGTTTGTGTTGTACAATTCGATTCAGAGGCCCCCGAACAAACCGAAGAGTAAAGAAAAATATTGGTGTCGGGATATGTGAAAAGAAAGACAAGTTGGTCAATTATCGTTGAGAGTGGGAAATATGTTCACAACTGTTTTGTTCTAAGAATCATGCAAAGTGTGCAAATAATTCAGAAACATGCTCAGAACTAAAAGAAGAATGTGGGATCTAGATAAGCATTGCTAAAAAACATAGTCTTTAAAAAAAATGTGAATTGTCACTTGACTTAAGTGTTCTAAGATTAACTTCTTTCGCTTTTGGAAGATAAATCTGTGTTAATAATATGATTTCCTAGAATTTAAAAACTGTACATACTGTTTAACTATAAAATCTATCTATCTATTTTTCTTTTAACATTTTTTGAAATAATTTGAGTGCTTTAGTGTTACGAAATATGCAATTGACTTTAAAGCTCTTTCTGCACATACGAGTATAGATGAATGAATTGTGTGGCTTTCTTTACAATCCTTGCTTCAGCAAAGTCTCAAATCAAAGACAACTCATCGTCTTATCTTATTAAGTGCCTTATATTGTTGCTAATTCCAGCTAAATTCACTGCAAAGTCCACAAAGATGTCAAACAAGGAAGCATGCAAAACAAACAACAACAAACGAGTGTGTGTGGCTGCAAAGCCCGACTTAGAAGTCTCGATTTTCAGTTTCGGCTGCCCTGTCATTTGACAAATTGCAGCCAGCGAAGACAAATATGCACAGGCTGCCCCATTTGTATGCGGCTCTGTGGCAATTTGCACGGCTCGCCCACTCGAAGTGCACTAATTACACGCATGCAGGAGGAGTCCTTTAATCGGCGAGCGGGCGAGTGCGGCTCCTCGCAAATTAATGAAATGAAAGCAAACACAAACAAACCAAAAGGCAGTGAACTCAGGAAGCGGCGAAATGAATGAGCTTGAACAGAACAGAACAGAAACCAGTGGCGGGCACCCAAGGTGCCGAAATGAACGCGTCGGGCGAACCGAAGGATGCGGAAAGGATGCGTCTCACCTGGAGGTTGCTCAGCAGCGCCTGGAAGTAGGGCATGGCCAGCAGGGTCCTGGTGCGACTGCCTCCGCTGCTGGCGCTGGCCGGCTGCGGAACCCTGTCCTCCGATTGCACTAATTGCGACTGCTGCGGATGCGGATGCGGATGCGGATGCACGACCACACACGCAGGTTCACGGGATCGCGATTCGGATTGGAATTCGGATAGGGATTCGGATTGGAATTGGAATTGGAAGCGGGATTGGGATTGGAATCGAGTCAGGTTGGGTTGGGTCGAGGAAGAAATATGGCGAAAATAGTTATTAAGTGTGGCGTTATTTATTAGCAATATGTTTTGGTCCAGAGTTATGGTTGTGCCGATACGGATATGAGTGTTATATATTATTATGGGAGACTGTGCTGGTCGACAGATGGAGTTGAAAGTGTTAGTGGGAGGGGAATACTGGAGAGCGTTAAAACGGTTCAACCTGAAAGCGAAGGCATTCAAATTCGGACTATTTAATACGACATTTGCTGGAGACTGAAGTAATCCTCAGAGGAAAGGGCACCCTATCATGCTTACTTTGTAAATCAAACTATATTACTATATTCCTATATAAAGTAAAATCTTTAAGCTTACCACTCTCTCTATTTGAAAAATATCTTCAACGAAATTCAGTTTTCCTTCCAACTTACTCCCACACATTTACCAAAAATCGAATTTCCATCGCTTTCCATATCGAACGAAGATTCCCAACTGGGCAACAACTCAATCAAGGTATTTACGCTGATTCCTGGCTGCCCCTTCCACCGGAGGGCGGGATACCCGCAATGGTTCTGACCCAAAACCCAACCCCCAGGATACAGAACCCAGAGCCCAGAATCACTCGGCAGACAAACAGCAATTTGGGCAGATGGTGTTGGCCCACCTGACCGAAAGAGGATTCGAATCCTTATTACTTTCCCCCCTCAACGAAGGACAAAAGCAGGCCATCCTGCCACTCCTGCCAGTCCATGCCTCATCTATTGTCGTTTTCGCAGGGAAGGAATTGTAAACTGTTTCGGTTTACTTTCCTCTCGGCTTAGCAGTGTTCGCTCCTCGCCTCCGTCCGTCTCGCAACGGTACGTATACGTAATTTCATTCGAAAGCACATTATATGTTTGGCCAGTCGAAAAAGATGGAGCGAGGAGCAAACAAGGCGAGCGGAGGAAGGGAGGCAGATACAAATCTAAACTGCCAACAGTTGGCACAGATATTTATTCTGTTGATATGGGCCAAGCCCGAAGGAAATGGGGAAAGCCAAGTGGAAAAACTATCAAATTACGTAGATGTTGACACAGGGCGATGGACGCAGGGAGCGGGTGAAACCGCAAATCCAATACACAACGAAATCGTGTAAACTCCGGAGGGACACTCGCACTCCATCCGATCCCGCACGCTTCCGGAACATATTTAAACCGAAAACCGAAAACCCGGCCGAAGGGAACGTCGGGCGACGTTGATCGAGTGGGCAATCATAACTCCTCCGGTGACCTCTACTCACATCGTCCTCCATGATGCTGCTGTCCGCGTGCTGCACTCCGTCCGACTTGGGCCTCCGGTTCCGCTCCCTGCCGTTCTGCAGGCGCTCGGACTGCTGCTGCCTCCTCCGGTTGCCCTGCTGCTGCGTGGACCTGTGAAGCGGGAAGAGATCAGGGGAACATTAAAGCCGGCGGTGGAACTCGGTTTCGGGACCTGGAAGATGTCAGACGCAGATTCCCGTGCCCACACCCACAAAGCCCTGTCGAGTGCCACTTTGCGGTGGCCTTCTCGGCCGAAAACCCCCTTTCCGAGCCCAAATAACTAAGCTTTGTGAGCGTGTTACAGGTTGCATTCTTCAACAGCCCTTGGTGGCGAAGGAGCTGGCTTAAAATGCCTTTATTTCGAGCTTGCTCTTGCATGCTGCAGCCCTACTGACAGCCAATCAAGATTAGCCAAAGGAATTGGGGGGAAAAACTCAATAAATAACAAGAAAAAAAACAGATTAAATGATGCCAGTTCAATACCTTACACTTTTCTTTTAGTAACCAGAGCGCTTTGCATCAACAAATAATAATAAATCATATTACGGTTACATAAGAGAAACTTAAAGCCTGCGTAAAGGATCTTCAACAGCTTTCTTAAATGCCGGGTGTAATTTACGAGTCAAACAGCATCCAATTTTAAATATTACTTTGGCCAAACATTAGAATTTATTTACCTTGGCCAGCCCTGAGACGAAATTCATTACTCAATTTATATTTGCCCTGGCGTTTATTTATTCACAAATTTGCGGCATATTTGCACACACTGGCGTTGCAATTCACTTCCAGCCGTCTGTTTAAATTGCCCTTTTAGGGCCACATAAATAATAATATAAAAGCAAGACACAGTTACGAAATACAAAAAAAGTCAGTCGAAAGACCGAAATCCAGCCCACTAAGCAAAGCGCCTTGCTGGCCTTTTCGCAAATATTTGCATATTTCCCCTGCTGCAGGAAATTGACAAAAATTGTTGTGTGAGTGTGTGTGTGTGTGTGTGCAACGCTTTCACCGATAAAAAACATGTTGGGGCAAACGTTTCTCAACCGCAAAGATATGAAATACGTATTTTAAATATTTAAAAAGCGATCAAACACGAGTGCCCCTTCACCTTCCCCCTTCGCCGAGTTACATTTCGATGTTTGTTTCCACAGTCGCCGCCAAAAGTTGTGGCACGCTTTTTCACGTCGAACGGCGGGGTTGACGATGCATTTGAAAACCAGAAATACCGCCGTAAATTTGAAAACCTTGCTGAGGGGGATTCGTTTCGAGGGGGAGTGGTGAAAAGCCTGCGGCTTTGCCAAAATGCATTTCGCTGTTGGCTGTTTGCTTTTAACCGTTTGCGTTAAGCAGGCGGACGGGGAACTACACGATGGCAAACATATGGAACTATTGTCCCTGCATCGGCGCATATATACATATAGTAAATGCACGCATACGTATGCAGGTATCTCTGTAATTTTTGGCATGCCAAACTCCTAACCCGACCGAACACGTAACCCAAATTGCGAAATAAACCGCAGACACGTGTGCGTGAATATGCAGTTTTGGGAGGGGGAAGTCGGGGATTTCGATGGGGAAGGGCTGCAAACGGGGTACTCCGGTGCTCAATGGAGTTAAACGTTGAAGAGCTCTGCAGGGAATCAGAGAGCGGCATTTAAGCGAGGTCCCGAGCCACCCGAGTAGGTAACATTGAAGCATCCTCAACGCAAGGACATATAAATATATTCCGAAAGGCTTGCCGCTTTTTTAACGAATTTGTATTGCCCTTAAAGGGCATCAAAGGCGGAGAACTGACTTAACAAGCCCCAAAAGCCTTTCATGACATTTAATTAGGATCAGCAAACGTCGTTCCCGCATATCCTTCTCCCAGAAAAGGACGCAATTCTCAACCGCAGAGCGAAGGTAAAGTGTCACAGCCAAGTTTTGTTTGTGGTTCCGCCCGAAAAGACGGAGGATAACATACAAACCGAGGCAAGCCAACTAAGTAACCATAAAATTTACTTAAAGTTTGTTTTGTTTTCCTTACCTTCTGTTGTTGTTTGAGCGCATAAAAGTTTAATGCAGGGAGGGCAAATAAAACACAAACTCAGCCAGTGGCGCAGAACGGGAAAGGAAGGTGTGCCGGATGTAATTCTCAGACAGCGGCAAACGCCGATAACACGCATACGCAGCGTAGGCTGCTGGAAAAGTTGGCGGGGGAGGACGGCAGTGGGCGGGTCGGAAAATCAGTCAGATAAGCCGGGAAAAGCGCGTGGAGGAAGTGCACAACTGACCGCCACTAAGCGGTTGCCACTTTGCTGCTGCACTGGAGGCGCGAATAAAGTATACGCCATGCTGTTCCCGAGCGGAACTGGCAGCTCGGAGAAAAGCTCTACTTTACTGCTGGAAAGGAAGGAAAATTCACGGAGCGCAGCCGGTAATAACTGGACAGCCAAGGCGCTGGCAATATAAAGTAAAAGGGTCCACGGAGAATCGAGTCAGAGATTAGGTTATTGCAAGGATGTTGTTAAGCTGTTGCGAGAATGTCGGCGAAGGGGGAAAATGCAAAGTGCCCAAGAAAAACTGTCGATTTGCGTTATGCCCGGGAACTTATGGATGTGAAAATGAACTTTACCAGTTAATGCATAATCGGAAGCAACGCTTGCAATGAAATTGCTCGAATTAAACTTTCCATAGCTGTTAACCCACTTCCTGCGGCAAAAACTATTATGCCTTATTGTTATTGTGCCTTTTGTTTTCAATTTATTTAATGCTTCAATAACACAAGACAACCGCCACTCAATTAAATTACCTTTTTAACGCAACAGCAAACTTTGTTTTGGCTTATTATTAAATGGAACTACTGAACAAAAATGTTCACCTGTGTCAACATACAGGATATATAAAAAAAAACAACTATGCTCAAAATAATAAAGGATTCCCAAAATTTGTTTAAAAACAAGATGCTTAAAACTGAAGCATTAAAAAGCATGCCATAAAAATAACAATATTTATACCCTTGCAGAGCAAAAGGGTATTATAATTTCAGTCAGAAGTTTGCAACGCAGTGAAGGAGACACCTCAGACCCCATAAAGTATATATATTCTTGATCAGCATCACGATCAGAATCCAAATATGCATGTACGTCTGTCCGTCTGTCCGTCTGTCCGTCTGTCCATCTGTCCGTCTGTCCGTCTGTCCGTCTGTCCGTCTGTCCGTTTCCGCGCAAACTAGTCTCTCAGCTTTGAAGCTATCTTGATGAAACTTTCCCAAAAGGTGTGTAGTTATTGCACGCAGTATATAAGTCGGAACGAGCCGGATCGGCCGACTATATCGGATAGCTCCCATATGAGAGAATGAAATAAAAAATTCTCACGCCGTTGTTTTTGATCAGATCGACTTGAACTCTTCAAGATGGCGTTTTCTAACTGTTATTGAATTTCGGATTAAATTTGATCAAAATCGGATAACTCTATCATATAGCTGCCATAGGAGAGATCGAAAATTATATATAGAATTAATGGAAATAAATTGATAACATCGTTGTTTTTTATCCCACGAGCATGATTTTTTGAATATCAAGTTTTTTATCAACGTTTATATTGGAAAAAAAGTTTCATAAAAATCGGTCATCTATATCTTATAGCTGCCATAGGAAAGATCGAAAAATCTATATAGAAATAATGGAAATAAAATTATAATATCCTTGTTTTTCATCAGACAAGTATGATTTTTGGAATATAGAGTTTTCTTACGACTCTTGAATTACGAATTAAATTTGATCAAAATCGGACACCTATATCGTATAGCTCCCATATGATCTATAGTCAAAAATATGGAAAATGAATAGAAAAATCGTCTTAGATTCGATGTTGTCTAGCCTTTATGCGTTTTGTTCGACATATTTGATGACTGCAAGGGTATATAAGCTTCGGCTTGCCGAAGCTAGCTTCCTTTCTTGTTTTTTCTTGTAATTTTTTGAGAATATAGGCTATACCTTGGAGTATGCATTGAATCCCTTTCAATAACAAGCTAGACTCATTTTTCATACGAATTCTATTTATTTTTTCCTCTAAGTGAAATAATAATACTGTTCGTAAGGCTACAAAAATCTTTAAAGAAACTGCATTTAAATTATGTATTTTGTTCTTTATCGGAGATGCATTAACCTTGTAAACATAAGCTAAGGTAAGCAACCCTACCTCAACGCTTCTAAAATGAATTTACTTTGCAGCAACCGGAATCCAGCCCCATCAAGATAATGTAAAAGGGAACGCCCTGCCACACGCAACCCGCCCAATCTGCAACCGCTCCAAAGTTTGGAGTTGAGCCCGGAAACTTTTCGCAGAAGGTCGCAAGACAGGCCTCTTACTTACCCATTAGTCGGGCCATCAGTTCCCGCTCCTCCTCCCGCTCCCGGCGCTCCCGCCGACGTCATGTCCGCCGAGGTGAGTGCTTCCGTGCCGCTTCGCTCACGCACCAAGCGATCTGGGAAAATCAGGACAAGGATAGAGGTTACTTGGAAGTTTAAGCTCATTAGAGGTAGTGATGAGCAGGGCGAGCACTTTGTTCTTAATGCAAGACGCTAGTAATATGGTTAAGAGGACTTTTCTACTAATAAAACTACCTAGCAACACACCCAACGTGTAAGGCAAAAAAAGTTTAAAAAATATGTATCTTTTGTGTAAAAATCTCATTCAAATTCGATGAAATAGTAATGGGGTTAATGGGGTTAAAAATTGTTGGGTTGGCGCTCGTATTTAACTTATTAGCTCCTCTTCACCACATTTATTTTTAAAGATTTAATAAGCGTTTACTACATTGTTTTGTTTTATATAAAAAGTTTGAACTTTTTTCCAAGCACAAAAGTGAACCTCTTTGGAAGGGGCGCCTTTATTAAAAAACATATTTAGAATCCAAAATACCTCAAGTACCCCAAATGCATATTAAAGTTAAATGTGTGTTGGTAAATGTATTTCCTTCCTCTAAAATAAAATGACCAAATATAATGTTCTATGAATCCTAAATGAGTTACTCCCTTTAAAGGAAATTCTATAATATTTAGAAGTCCCAACCCAACCTGTTTTTTCTGGTGAGTCTTTACTACCTTGTGGAGACATAAACAGTTTATGTTGTGTTACCTAACAGCTTAATGCTCATCTCTGCTCGACCATCACTGGATTGGAAGCCACCACTCTGCACTGACTACCCACCTGCCTCCTGGCGCTCCAGCTCCTCGGCGTGCTGGCCCGGCTTGGCCTTCACCTCGATGGCGATCTCCGCGGAGCTGAGTCCCGCGTGGCAGGAGTAGACGCCGGCGTCGCGGAAGGTGATGTCCAGGATGCGGAGGGCGCCCTTCTTGGACACCTTGAACTTGCGCGACCGCTGCAGCGGCTTGTGGTCCTTGCTCCACTTGATCTTGGTGCGGTTGTAGCGCTTCACGGGGCACTTGATCTTCACCTGGGTGCCGAAGAAGACCACCCCGGCGCCGCCCACCTTGAGGGTGATCTTGGTCTTCTTGGGGTCGTGCTGGATGTGCGTCGAGTTGCTCACCTGGATGACCGGCTTGGGGTCCTCCGGCGGACAGGGCTTCACGTTGCAGGGCTTCTTGTCCGCCGGCTTGGCGCTGGGGCACATCGACTCCGGGCGCTCGATCTTGTGCTCCTGGGCCATGATCTGCTTGCACTCGACCTTGCGCTCCTTGAACCCGTAGCCGCAGGTGTGCGAGCACTTGGCCCACTCGCCCACCTCCCAGCGGACGGGGCAGTCGAGCACGTTGCAGTACTGCCGGTCCGCCGGCGGCGGCTGGGGGCACATGCTGTTCGGCACCACCATGGTGTTGTCGCCGCCGCGGGTCACCTCGTGGATGCACTGCACCTCGCGGGTCTTGATCCCGATGCCGCAGCTCTTCGAGCAGGGCGTGTAGTCCGAGTAGTTCCACCTGGGCGGGCAGGGCCGGTCGTTGCAGGTGCGCACCCGCGCCTCCGGCTTCGTCTCCGGTGAGCAGAGGAAGGGCGACACCACGCGCCCGTTGTCCTCGCGCACGCAGTTGATGATCAGCTCCTCCACCCCGCCGAGGCAGGAGGCGCTGCAGGAGGTGTAGCCCTGCTCCCGCCACACGTACGTCTTGCCCGGCTCCGAGACGCCCACCTTGATGGAGTCGCGCGGGAACTGGTCGTCGAAGCTGTGCGAGGGCAGCATGCACGGCTCCTCCACGCAGCGCTCCACCTCGTCGTGCGGCCTCTTCCCCTCGCAGAGCGAGTCGTTCACCGTGGCCACCGTGCGGGAGTACTCGAGGAAGATCTTGCAGTTGAACGCCCGCCGCCGGATGCCCTCGCCGCAGGTCACGCTGCAGGGCGACCACTCCGAGTCCTTGATGTAGCTGTTTTCAATAAAAAGAAGTCGGTTTGAGTAACTACAGATCTTGTATTGCTATAATATGTTGAAAACAGCCTTTCGGTCTGTTTGAAAAAACAAAAAAGATATAAATATAATAAAACATATAATAATAACGAAACAATACCAATAATAATTATTACTATTTTTCTCCAATACCAATTCCAAATGTATGCCTTAATTTTATAATGAAGAGTAATGAATGCTGAAATGGTAGATTAACAAACAGCCAAAGTGCAAAAAGAAATGCAGTTCTTCATAACTTGCATAGAAGCACTCGAAACCAACGTTTTGAATTATTTATTAAAGTTTTTTGTTGGCACAAATGGAAATTCATCAACGTGAAACTCATTGAATCCATAAACCACAGGGTTCCACTGGGATGTTAATCTATAGACTTGGAATCGAAATATTCCTAAATACGGTTTAAATAGCAGTGACAACCTTTATCAAATTTCGAGCCTGACCAGCAGAGCGTTCACAACTCCTCCACTCCACTCCACTCTCCAATGGACAAACAAAAGCCTCTGGTGACACATTCCGTGTTTCGTGGGCGATTCCTTTGTGTGTTTAGCCGTATGCACACAAATCGAATCATCTAAAACGTGTGTCAACGCAAAAACCACCGACCTGCAGCATCCCGCTCTGCGTCGTCCATTTTATCTGGAGCTAGGCAAATTCCATGCCACAATAGAGCTCGCCACGTTCCACACACTGCATTTCATTCGGTGCCAGGAGCCGTGTTTATTGAACCCCTGCGCCACTCTGCCCCAAAAAGTGGGCTACGCGAATGAATCGTTTGAGGAACTCGAGTGAGACCCGCATGACCTCCACTTTGTGTTCTCAGTGGAGCTGTACTTGTGCTGGGCACTGAAGTGTCGGATTGTGGACTTTATGGCCACGGTGACCGTTCATGGAAACAAACTTAGGGCCGGAGGTTGACAGGTCCGCTGGCCAGGAGCGTTTCGACCCCGTATTGATTTGCAGTCAAATTGAAGATGCGAATGTCGCATTTATGTGGCGCCAAATGGCCGCAAACATCTTAGCATGGCTCTCTAAGTAGGTCAGCTTGCAGGATGCACAGAGAGAAATAAAGACGTCTTTGAATTTGCTTGCTTTTACTAAAATGTTTAAAGGCTATCTGTAGAAGTCAGAAAAGCATTTGTGTGAAGATTATACTTTTAAATAAAGTTGAAAAGAAACTTGTTCTAAGTAATTTAAGAAGAAAACAACATAAACTTTCGAAACAATAGAGAGAATATTTTCTATAAATATATAGACCTTTTTTGTTGAAAAGTATATTTATATTAATGTCTACTATTGGACTATGATCTGTACAAATTAGAAAAGGTATCTGATTTTTAGAATTTGTACATATGAATTTTTACGTGAATGCAATACCTAATAACTTTTATTTATTTTGAAGAAGTTGAATTTTAACTATGTGTTAAAAATACTGTACTTTGTATTATATTCTCAACTTCAAATTAATAATGTGGTTATAAACTGGTATTTTTTCTCAGTGATGCTGCTGATTTCATAACCATCGCGCCACGTAGGCTAGGCGCGTGTTGAGAACTTTGTTTGCTTGTATCTTTCCTTTTTTGTTTGTCTGCCTGGCGCGCTGCCATCGCCAATCTCTTCATGGCCTTTATTGTTGCCGCATCGGCAGCGGCATCGGCATCGGCATCGGAGGCCAAGGTTCTGTGGCGGCACCAGGACGCGACTTTATGGCGGCGCCAGCCTCGAATAGTTTCAGCTTAGTGGGCATCGCAACAAAAAGCCATCGAGAGAAATGTAAAGAAAAGATAAGTTGACTGCCTTTTTAGCGAAATAAAAGCGGCATTTCGTTGTTTCCCAGTCAACGGTCCATTAAGTTCAAAATATATGAGTTTTTCCCTCAGTACATTTATTTTTTGAGGAAGCCATGGGTCAATGTTCGACAAAAGGGTAATTGGCTAAGAAAAATAGTTGGCTTTATTATTATTCAACTTCCTAATATTCATAATTGGGTTTACGTTCAATTTGGATATTCAAATACATTCATTAGGAACCTTTCACAGAAATTGCACGTTTTTTTGAAAATATTTTCTGAGAAAATAACAAAGAATTAAGCAAATTACTCACTCCTGTTATTCCCCCTCTGTAATTCCGGGAAATGTCAAAGATCTTTGAAATAAGAGCAGCAGGATTTCCTTGGCAATTGAGCAGTACAATTTCCTGGCACCCGACTCATTCTGGCACATAAATAAGCGAGAAGTCGCGACAAGTGGATTGGGACTTCCAATCTGAGCGGTAATTTATTACTTCGGCTAAGTATTCCCCACGCACCAATTATCCGATAAAAGCACTTGGATCGGTCCCCCAGATTCTAATGATTCCACTCGGACTCGGATTCGGATTCATTTCGCTTGTTTCGCCGGCTAATTGAAGTGTGTACACACCTAAGAGGTACTTTGCCACAACTTGATATGTTTGACCGGGCTTATCGGCGCAATTTTTATCGCTTTCCAATAACAACGAGTGGGGCACGCCAGGGCGGCACTTTAATTGTCATTAGGCGCACTTCACCGCACTTGCGATCCACTTCAACTCCGAGTCGATTCCTCCTCGACTCGATGTGGGCTCGTGAGTTTGTCTAATAGCCTTAATTTTAGGTGTCGACAGTGCTCAAGGACGTTGTGATGAGTCATGAAGAGGGTGGGTGGTGTTAGTGGCCTCCCTGGCCAAGTGCTCCCGCCAAGTTGAGTCGAGTGGCGGCCAAGTGGGTGGGGAAGGCTAAGAAGGCTAAGAGAAGCAGAAGGACGCGGAGGATGGCGACGCACTAAAGTTGAAATATGTCAAGTGCTGGCTGCGGGCGAGATAAGGCGAGGAGAAGTGGCCGCAGGAGCCGGAGTCTCGCACTTCTTTCGAGACAGTGGGCTCCAGTCAAAAGCCCCCGGAAAGCGTGGTGCCTCATGTCCCAGGGGACACGGCTAACCACTCCGAGGCGTGACATCAATTAGCACCGGCAATAATGATTGAAATACATGTACAATGAACGAAAGGCAACGAACTGTCAACTTAGTTTCAATAGCGGGACGGAAAAACCTTGGTTTCATAGGTGTTTTTATCATAGATAAAACCTTCCCTTTTTATCTATGGATGGAATGCAGATTTAAAGTTATGTTTAAAGTTATTGTAGAACAAACAATGCGGAAATAGTTGTAACAAATTAAAAATTAAAATACTTCTAGGGTGATTAGTAAATTGCTAATGTTTTTCCCTTGTTAAAGTGTTAAAACGGTCACTACAATTTCATTAAAAATATTATAAATATAATGCAATTCCCTACCCTAGCAACAAAAATCTAATCTATCTATGTGTTTCTACACGAATACATAAAATGTTAGTTAAAATTAAAGCAGTTTTATAAGCATTCCTTTGAATTTTAAATTAATTTACTATAACCTTTGTGCAATTAAAACAACTTAAGCTTACGCAACTTATCTGAGTACTCCAAATGACATAATTACAAAGGTAGCAGCACTTTCAACCAAACTTGCTGGTAAATGCAATACAGATTATACTACTTACGTGGGATCCAATGAGGGCGCCTCCGCTCCTCCTCCTCCTCCTCCGCGGTTGTAGTTGTTGTTCGAGCTGCCGCTCATCAGCCGCAGGGTGCGCGGCTCATCCGGAGCTTCCTGGAGGAGGCGACTCTGCGTGCGGAGGGAGTAGCGGGAGGGCTGGTCGGCGTAGGAGAGGCCCTCGCCGTCGTCGGTGTCCTGGCCCGACTCGAGGTCATCGATGTCGTCCGCCTCGTCGTCCACGTCCTCGTCGTCGTCGTCGTCGTCCGCATCCGAGCTGTCCATCTGCCGCTCCGACCGCTGCAAAGAGCAGATGCCACTTCCGCTGCAGGCCTTGCATCATTGATGGACTCGGGCGGCACTTACCTCGTTCAGCGAGCGGCTGCTGCCCACGATGATGGTGCCGCCGCCCTGGTTCGCCGATCCGCTGCCCCCGCCGCAGTTGATGCCCGTGGAGCACTGCTGCATGCTGCCGGGCTTCGTCAGCGGATCGCACTTGGCACTCAGGCTGCCGTCCGTCGATTTGCATTCGACGCCTCGCATCTGTATCCCCTGTCCGCAGGAAACCGAGCACTGTGGTTTGGAGGGGGTAAAAGAGGGGAAGGATATGGAGCATCCGTGAGCATTATAAATTATTTCAATGCGCTCCCTTTCGCCGTCATAAAAAGGCATTTGTTTGCACAAAGGATGAGCCGCCGCATGACAAAGTGCGCTGCTTCCTCGCAAAAGTTTCAAGTTGTGCGGCTTAAAAACAAAAAAGGCAACCCAACTGAGGCTCCCTAACCCTCCACACACACACATACACTCACTCACACTCACTCACACACACATGTAGGCATTCAACCCCATCGCAATCCGCATCCCGCATACAAATTCAAATTCTCATATTGTTTGCGTTTTGTCGTGCCACGGGGCGTATGCGTAACATCCGAGCTCCACCTCCATTGTTTATTCGTACGGAGCCCAGTTCGGAGCTGCTCACTCCCCGCTTTAATGGCGCTTAATTTTGTGGCATATATTTTATTAATGGACATAAACGTTCACGCGCCCGCTTCTTCCCATTTCATCTCATAAGCGTTATGAGAATTCATTTAAAAAGTGGATGGGCCTGCTGAAAGGTTTGCGGTTACCTTTTCACACAAAAGAGTTCGCAAACAAAAAAGTGTTCGGGGGAGGAGGCAAGGAGGTTTCATTATATTTGCGAAGTTCATTAAGTTGTTAATAGGCTGGCGTTAAGTAGTTTCCACTCATATTTCTCGCTTTGCAGAAAAGTTAAAAGCGAAAAGACTTTTTAATTGTGTTCTGCAAATTCCATTAGCCCTGCAATAAAAGACTATTGCCTGACAACGTTTCCGCACACAAAAAGCGAAAGTTGAGGAACGTAATTGTGTTCCATTTTCAGTGATGTAAGGCAAACTTATAAAGCTTTCCTAATATTATAACTCACTGTTCTCACTTAATAAAGTTCAATACGATTTAATTATACTTTACTCTTCCCCTATAATAACCTATTTGAATAAAGCCTTCGCCGCAACTCAACATTTTAATCAACACCTCACCCAAAAATGTATTTATAGCCACCCCAACGTTTTCGTTGGCTTACTTCTAGGCGAAAAACTTGAGACAATTCAATTAAGCAACACATAAACTTGACACCCGGCGGGCGTCTTAAGTCCCCACACATACACGTTTTAAATTAATGTGGAGGCGGAGATTGAGTTTGGGGGAAGCATTGATAAAGTTGCAGTTTAAATGAACAGCAACCAAAGCAGAACCCACTGGGAGTGGCTCCCAGTTGGGCGGTGGAGCCACGAGGTGTGGGAACCGGCGACCAGACGAACTTAAGCAGCCACGCCGTCGACACGGCCACCGAGTTGATTAAGTTGCACGGCCAGGCCGTTTCCGACTGGCGGGAGGAGTCCCACTCTCAGTCTCAATTTCAGTCTCAGTCTCGGTCTCAGTCGCAGTCTAGCGGCCAGCAGCTTATTACGAGCCACCAAGCAAAGCAACTTCAAATGCGGAAAAAACAAACAAGAAAATAACAGAACGAGGTCTACTCGAATTGTGAATCCTCTAACAGGGCTTGGAAAAACTTTGAAATCTTTTTTGCAGGGAAAATTTGAATATTCCTTAAAAAGCACTTTTCTCATGTTCTCTTACATTGTTAGATTTAAAGTGCCTAAATCGTTACAAAAAAATACTGTTTTAAAAACAGTTCTGAATACATAAAAAACAATGTTTTTGTGTTGCAGGGCGACTTTTCCACTAGAATGCTTAAATTATATGGGCAGACTTTATAATGTTTATAGGACAAGGCTTATATTTGGATTTTATGATAGTATAAAAGAATATTGCCAATGATATAACATTTCTAAAAGTATTAAACTTAAAGTGGGAAAAAAAGGTTGGCGAAAGAACTTAAGTTTCTGTACGAAATAGTAGTTAATTTTTGCTCCATATTTTAATTCATAAAATACAAAGGGAAAATAAGCAAAACAGGGTCAGAAACGGGGTCTAGTTGCATTTCAAAAATTAAAATTAAATAAAATAAAAATTTCTTCTTAATTGTTTTCTTTTAACAAAAAGGCAGGCGTTCAATTCCATCTTCAAAAGCCGAATGAGAGGTGAAAGCGCTTTTCTGCATAATTTGTTAAATTGCAGTACACGAAAATAAAACGTAGGCTCCTTCCTGGGATTAGAATACAACCTCAAAACCCTTGTCCCCACTGTGCCCCATTCAATGGCCAGTGTAGAGCCCCAAAAGCAGCCAGGCAAAGGGCATCCTAGGAGGGCTATGCCCCTGACCAGCCAACAGGCAGCAGCGAGCACTGGCAACCCAGACATTTAGCTAAGTACACACAAAGGGCCCAGACACGGCTCGTCAACGAGCAGCGTGCAACGTGCAACGTACATCGTACATCGTGCAACGAGCCACTTGCAACGTCTGCGTCTGGGTGCCCCACTCTGCTGCCTCGCTGCGGCACAGAAAGTGCGGAAGGTGCACGATTATTACACGAGCAGCTGGGAAGTGGGGCCGCGGTGGCAAGTACTTACGCCGGTCCAGTCCTCGACCTCCCAATGCGGACACTCCTCGATAATGCAGGTCTCTTGTGTTGGCGGCTTGGGAGTGCGGCACATGATGTCTGCAACCTGTTTTCGGAGGGGAGGGAAAAAGGGGAGGTGTGAGAAAACATGGCAATAGCGTGTCGGCGTCGGTTCTTCCCACTTCCGAATGCAAAATTAGCGGCGTTCGAGGGGCGGAACTGCAGGTAATGGCCGGCACTTTTTCGGCCACTTGGCGAGTCCTTCTCAGCCTCAGTCTTAGTTTCAGTCTCACTCACCCGCGTCTTGATGGCGTTCGACTCCTCCGCGCAGACGACCATCCGCTCCCGGTAGCCGTGGCCACAGAGCCGGCTGCAAGTGCTCCAGTCGTCGGTTATCCAGCTGCGGATTCACAAGGTTGAGTGCAAGTGGTCGGTCAGTCAGGGCGTTCATCGCGAGTCGGCGGAACAGAAAGTAAATGAGTAGTTGCCAGCGGCAGTAAGTGGTTTGGGTCAAACAAAAACGATTTCACACGCTCTGAAAAACGTTCAACCGTAAAGGGCATGCGGTTGGGCGGGAAAGGGTCTTGGGAAAGGCTCCTGGGAAAGGGAAGGACTACAAAGGCAAGCCACTGTTATCGGCTGTTGAATAGTTCAGTGGTAAATCGCTGAAGCAACTGAGCAACTGAACCTGGAAAATTATTTGTGCGAAAGAAAAACCAGCTACCAATTTGTTTATCTGTTTCCTTGATAGTAACACAATGCATTCTGAAGAAGTTCTTTCATTATTTTTCAAATGGCTTCCTTGATATCTTTTCTTTAAAGCTACAAAAAAAACAGTTGTTACCAACTCATAACTCCTAGCGAACTATCTTGACCTAATCTTATCCATTGTCAAAACAATTCATCATCAAAAGGCACAAGCCTGAACTTCCCAACTAATCTATCTTCTTCGTGGTAGTTGGAACCTCAAGCTGCTTCTGTGCAAAAATGAAAAAATATACTAATGACCCAAACAAGGAGCCACTAGGAGAAGTGGAAATGCCAAACTTTTCGGACGGACAAGAAAAGAATAAAAAACGCAAACGATGTCTGCGCCCGAAGGCAAATACGCAAAGCCGCGAACAGCAATAAACATATTGTCGGAAAACAAGGACGGAGATTAGAATTCGGGGAAAGCCTTGGATGGAGACATTCGCCAATTTGGCGTTTGCCTTTGGCTCACTTCGGTTTCGGTTGCCCTGGTTTCTGGGTTTGGCTTGTGAAATGTCACCGAACGATAAATAAGCGTGAGTGCGCCAGGACCAAAGGAGGAGAGGGGAAGGACCTGCGGGAGAGGGACGAGCTGGGGAACAGGACCTTCAGCCACGGGGGAGAACGTCCGCGTCCTCGTGCCTCCTGGGCGATAATAGTGTGCCTGGGAAGGCAATCAAAACGTGCGCACGATAACCGACGCCATTGAAATTGATAGCTGGCCAGATGAGGCACGGCAGCCGAGTTTACACTTAGAGAACGCATCAAGGCTATCTAATAAAGGTAATTTTAATTACATATCAAAAAATCTATAGCTATTCTTACAAAAAAGAACAAGTAAGAATATAAATCTAAAAATCCTAACTAATTACAAGAATAATCAAACCTTAGCTATGGAATAAGAAAAAGTTCTTCAAACTTACTTGTTACTATTTCACTGATTTCAGAACCATTCAAGACCTCCCTTACTGAGTTTAAGAATTAACTCGGGTAATGATAATATAAATGTTCACTCCTTAAATTACTACTTCGTTCCTACACATTACTTAAACCACAAATTTTCGATCAGTACAGCTGCGGTTGCTTAGCGGCCTTGGGGACTTGTTTGGTTGGAAGGGGCAGTGGGAGGTGGCAGGTGGGAGATGGGAGGTGGCAGGTGGGAGGAGAGAGGTGGTGGCTCAGACAACTCCGCAGGTAGGAGTACTTACCGCGGCGGACAGCTGTGTGTGTTGCACTGCTCCACCGACGCCTCCGGGCGATTAGTAAGGCTGCAGAGCGTATCATCGACATCGGCGTTGGTTAGACGGTTCCTGCACATCGGACGGGACATTTTGTAACCTGAGGCGGAGGAAAGGCGAGTCGAAATTCAAAGGCGGGAAGAGCAGAACAGAGGAGAAGAATGTTAGTGAGGGGCTAAATTGGAAATCGCATTCAACTGCCAGACGACAGCCAAACTGTCCTCCTTTGTTTTTGTTCAAATTTTCAGCTCTTCCTTTTCGCTTGAGCTGCACTTTAAAATCAATAAAAGTCAGGAGATGGTGAAATTGTGAGCAGGAGACAAGGACGCTGCTTGTGCAACTTTAATGTCACTTAAGGTTCTCAAGATATTCACTGCACAAAGACAAGGCTGCAGTTGAGTCTTGAAATTTGTTGTGGGAATTCAAAAAATTATAAAAGGTTTTAGGTTTTTTAACTATATTACTCTAACAAAGTCCGAAAGTAACCAAGACTGAATTGCCTATAAAGATACATATTCTGTTAAAGATGAAAAGCAAAATTGAACAATAATGTCTTGCTTAGAAAATAAATGAATCCTACTTTTCCTGTTTTAATTTATTAGAAACTCTAAAAAGTAAAGCTTGGTAATTTCAAAGCAAATTCAAAATAGATTCTTAAAAACGTACCCTTCTACTTTTAAATATTATCGCTTTTCACATCTCCTTAATTTTTAAAGATTTCAAATAACAAATCACCGAAATCCCTTTTATATAACAAACGCCAGTTCAAGCGCTTTAGGATCCCTGTAAAATCCCAAAGAAACTGCCAAATCAATTTTTCAGATTTGAGGGGTTAAATGTCAGCTCCTAACTGGGGAAAGGGGGCATCTGGCAAAGGCGAAAGGATTTAAGGGGAGGAGCTCCCGAAAGCACAGCCGGAAATTGGCAGATGGCGAAATGCAGCCAGCGAAGGAGCAAAGGACGAGGAGCAGAGTGAGCAGAGAGGAAAGCGGCGGAGGATTGGCACAATGCATAACGTCATAACGATCTGTCAGTTTGAGAAATCGTTGCAGCTCCTAACCCTCGGATACGTTTTGGTATCCTTGCCCTGCCTCCGATTTCGGTATAAATACTCCCTGTGTGAGCAGCTGTGACGCTGATTTCGCAGCTATTGAATTTCGCTTATAAGCTCCACTGGCAGCGTGTGTGGGCGAGTGCCTCGGATGCCTTGGATGTCTCCTCCGCATCCTCGCAGCTTCGCATCCCGCTGGCTGCGTATTCATGACACAATTGGCTTAAGGCAATTGGTAATATCCTCTCATGGCATTTACGTCAATTGTCGCAACCCAAAGAGGAGTCATCCCCGTCTTCAGACTGCATTGTAAGGTGGGGGAAAGGGGGGATTGGGGGAAGGGGAAAGGGGGTTCAGGAAGCGGACACGAACAAATAGCGGGCCATGACCCAGTGGACTTAAAAGGGCTCACAGCACCCAGCAGGCTGAAAGTCTGGCATTCTGGCAGCTCGGCAGTCTGGAGCTTCTTAAAAGGACGAATCCCTGTCAATTTTCATCACCCATCCGCACTCCGGATTTCATTCGCTCCATGCTTCCTGGGTAAATCACCAAGAGCTGGAATCGTTAATGGGTAATTTCTTTAATCTCTTCAATCAGGAGAGAGATTGACGTTTTCAGAGCGAAACTCGACAGCTGATATGATCAATGAAAGGTGAAACCAATCGAGCATCGACTTTGATTAAGATTTTTCAGTCCTAAAATGGTTGGCTCTTTTCCTTTTACCATTTCATATAAGTATTTTGATTGCCAATGCATTTCACAGTTCTTACTAAGAAGCGTATAATGCTTAATAAACCCATCAGCTGCCGTTCCTTAACTTAACTATTTTTTTTAAACACTTTTACTACCGCCCACCATCTGTATTTCTTTAAGTATTCCCTTAGCATCTTCACTCGAAAACGCTGGCACTCGTTTGTCAATATCAATAGAAAGAGCTAAAAACAGCAAGCTAAATGAAGATTAAGTGTTCTCAACGCAGATGCTCCATTAGACAACTCTGCAGAAGTGGTTACTAAAAAAAGTCGAAAATTTAGCAAGTAATCCAAACAGACAGTTTCAACTCCTGTCACGTACCGGAAAACTGCAGTTGTCCAACCGAAAGCTGCAAAACTACCCAAGCAAATATGTATAATTGGACATAATTGATTTCGTGAAATGTGTGCAATTATGTGCCCCAGAAGGGGACACATGAGTAAAAGCATTTCGATGTCCCCAGCAAGAACCCCACTTTTAAATCGGTTTGCCCGGGTTTGGTCTCACAGGTGTCCATTAATTGGAGGGTGGGCCGCTGGCCGGGGAATCCCCCAAAGAGACCCCGAGTGGGCACTGCAGTGCACTTGACATTTAACTGACATCTAAAAACTAAACACGGCAGACAGACACAATGAAATGTAATTACGGGGGTCAAGCCAACCCCGAGTGGGTCACTGGGGTTAAGGAAGGGCGCCCCGGGCGATACTGCAATTAAAATTGGAGGAGGAAGCCAGAAATTGATTTTGCCATTTGTCGCTGGATAATGCCCGAGCGAACGTCTGGTCGGAAGGTCCTTAGCCACTCGAACTGGCATTCGGCCAAGGCGAACGACAACTTATCTCTGACAGGCTAACGGCCGGGAAAATGCCGAGCCAAATAATGATTAAAAATTTATGGTGTACTTCTACGACGAAGTCAGTGGAAGTGTACTGACAAAAGTAATGCTTTGGATTAGACGTTTGCGTGATTCAATATATTGACTTCTATTCGATCAGCTTCGATTTGATATCCCAAAGGTGGATGGGTATTATTCGATCTTACATCTAATCCGAAATTCAACTCAAAGTGTCATAAATAGCAGCAATATAACGAGATCTATATTTTATGCAATTCACTTTGTTCGTCTAGTCTTATATTTTAGCAGAAAAATATAATGTGAAAAATATTAAAAGTTGAACGGCAACACTTCCCAAAATTAATTTAAAACTCTTCTGTGGCTCTTACTTAACATTTCATAAGAAAACAAACAATCAACCACCTTCACCTGCTAAAGTTTACAAGTTTGAGGGCGGGAACACCCCATCCTATTAGTTTGCATAATATCTTGTGTTACATATGCCAACGCCAAGTTTTATTACCTTCTTTCATGTTGCTCTGCAGAACAAAAGCTTCTAGTCAACGCAGAGAAGGCAACCTGACAACCCAATTTATGGCCAGAGCGCCACTCGAAAGTTAACCTACGTCTGACTTCAGCCTAATCGGCAAACTTTAGTTGCTTTAGTTTCAAATGTATTATATCCCGTGGACTATTAATCATATACAGGCAGCCACGAAGGAAGAAGGAAAGAAACGCAGTTTTCAACAGCCATTTTCCCTGGCGATTGGGATCTGATAGCTGCTGCCACTCGATTACCATGCAAACATTCAATCGAAACGAATTCCAATTCAATGAAAATAAATGAGCACGACAAATAGCTGGCTCCCGCTCACCCACATATGTAAGTGAACTGGGGAAATAAATTTGACAGTACTTTTCGGGGCGGGGAAGCGAGGGGCAGGATTACAAACGGCAGCCAGGCACGCCAGGAGCTCCTCGGGCCTCCAGTTCCAATGTTCTTGACATATTCCACTTGTTTATTTACACTACGGATAGCAAAGACAGTCGCTCATCGGCGACAACAAAGTGGTTACACTTAGGAAAAAAACAAGGAGGAATTCTAAACCCATAATTTAAATGATTAGGATTAAAATGTTTTTCTGCAGCCACTCCAATATATTTAAAACACGAATTGTATCAAAAGGTGACCCAAAAACCTCTTAAGAATCAAAAAATCTGACGGTATCCAAATCTGCTGATTACTTAACAGTAGTAAATTAAATTATACCAAGCTTTATAAGAACAACAAATTTTAATTTGTTAAACATTTACTCAAGTTAAGGGTAACGTTTCAGAATTTATGATGATTTCTGGAGAACCAATACTTTGTTCTAAAAATTTCTAATGATTGCGCATCTATAAAGGAGTTATGAGGTGACTGTTTCTAGGGCTGGTTTCTTTTCCGACTATTCGGGAAAGAATTAGGCAATTTTTGAGTTCCAAGTGCAATTTTCTCAGTGTAAGTGGGCATGTTACATAAGGTCTGAACTTACCGCCGCCGCAGGTGGCAGAGCACTGCGACATCGGCGCCATCTCCCAGTAGTAGAGCGGCTGGGAGCAGGAGTTTCCATCGCCGCCACAAACGCCGCAGCCGTCGATTTTCTTCGTCGAGCCGATTTTCAAGTCGCAGCCAACGCGCTGGAAAGAGATGACAAGCGCTGGTGTTAGAGGGAGATAGTCACAGAAGGTAAATAAAAATGGCTGCGTAAATAAAGTGTAAATCAACTGTTAGCGGTATCAATAGCGTAACACACAAAACAACGCCAGTCGTAAATAAAATATGGAAATCAATGGCAAAGAATCCATTGGATGGGCATTTTCGTAGACTAGATGGAAACACAAAAAACCTCGTACGCTTTTTTTCGGTTTTAGGCCAGAGTTCACGGCCTGTCGTGCTATAAATTCGGAGAATTAAGCGGCAGATTGTGTGGCATGTGAAGGCTGATTAAAATATGCATCGAGCTCGGTATTTTAACGGACAAGGTTATCGTTGAATATTTCAAAGAAATTTGCTTAAGACTTTTTTGGCTTGCGAAATTTCTTTTAATTAAATGGCTCCTAACAATCTTATTAGTGTTTCGTTTTATATATTGGACTATAAAATAATACATAGGAGCTTGACTTCTAGCAACATACACACATCGAAAACTAAAATGTGCATCGAGAATAGTATTTTTACATACAAGTAGACCATTATCTTATATTTTGTCAATGAAATGTTTAATTACTTTACTGACACAACCTTTTGAGCATACGGATTTTCCATAAATTGTATTCTGCTTAGAAAAAAAACAAATGGTTAATTTTGAATTTTATAATTTGTCTGACCAAATTATATACTTTAAGGCCTGAAGTAATCCCAGCACAAAATACGACCAAAGCCATTTATAATTAATTTCCCCAAACAAGTTCCCTGAAAAGGGTAACGAAAGTGGATTCGTATCCTTTGCGTAGGCAGGGTAAACCTACGTCAGGATCTTTTGGATGTTTTTGGATGCGTAACGTTGAGTTTCACTCTCCTCCAGCTTCCGACTTCCTTTCTCCTGTCTCCTTTCTGCTTTCTGCTTTCTCCTGTCTGCCGGCTTGTGTGTGTAAGCCGCAAGACAAACAAGCAAAGTCGAGGCCTGCGGGTCGCATAACAGGCCGCCAAGCTGGCAGCGAGCTTTTTGATTTATTTATAGGAGATACGAGTATACAGTGTGCCACTAAAGTCATGATACAGCAGACGATTTCTACGAAACTTGCAAAATATACCTTTATTAAACGAAAAATGAAAAAACTAAGGATGACATGTTGTGTGATTCACTTGCCTTAACAATATTACAAAATAAAATAACAACTTTTCCTTATAGTTTACTTAAAAATAAGAAAAAACTTAAAAAAATCTTAAATTTAGTTCCACAAAAGTCATGATACACTTTTCATTAAGGTCAGTTAAACTATATTTAACGGCTTAAAATTAAATCTAATATTTTGTAGGATATCCCTTCATTTTGATGACTTCATTAAGCCTTCTTGGCATGGATGAGACTAATGACTCTAGATATGATAGATCCATTTTGTCCCACTCCTCCTTTAGCGCTGCTTTCAGATCGGATTTGTTGCGAATTTCGCGGCCCCTTATGTTTTTTTCCAGCTGATTCCATACGTGCTCAATGGGGTTGAGGTCGGGACTCTGCGGTGGAGGATTAAGGACGTGAGGAACATTGTAGAGCAACCAGAGGCGAGTGTTTAAGGCCGTGTGTTTCGGGTCATTATCTTGGTAAAAGTAATAAGATGACCCAATTCCAAGACGATCTGCACTTTGGTTGAGATTTCGCTTAAGGATATCGATGTATTTTTTGTGGTCCATGATACCATCAATAAATTCTAGACCTCCAACGCCTGCAAAGCCCACACAACCCCAAACCATCACTCCTCCTCCACCGTGCTTTACGGTCTTTATGGTGTATTTGGGTTTATAGGCATCTCCAGGTCGCCGCCAAACCTTGAAACGCCCATCTGACCCAAATATGTTGTATTTGGACTCGTCTGCAAAGATAACTTTGCGCCAGAACTCAACCGAATGATTTTTATATGTTTTTGCAAACTCAAGCCTTTTAAGCCGATTTTGTTTTGACACGTGTGGCTTCTTACGTGGTGTATATGAGCCAAACCCGAACTCTTTTATTGTCCTGCGGATAGTTTCTGGGTGGACATCCTTATGTAGAGTTGTGTTTATCACATCACTTATTTTAACGGCACTTTGAAAGGGCTCTTTATCAATTAAATGTTTAATTGTGCGTTTGTCTCTATCGTTAAGTTTTGGCGGGCGGCCAGTTCTTTGGTTATTTTCAACCCGGCCCTCGTTCTTAAAACGTCCGATCACGTGTTAAATAGTGGACCGGCTTCTACACATAATTTCAGATATTTCGGAATACGATTTCCGTTCTTTTATGTGTAAATTTAATATAATTTTCCGTTCCTCTACAGTGAGCTCTTTACGCGTCATTTTTCTGGCTCCTTCTTAACTTTGCTTTTCCCAGAACTGCACAAATGCAAAGGAAGGCACACAAAAGCATATGGTAAAAGTCCCGTTACAATTGTCAAAACAGAAAAGATAGAAGTGTGTAATTTCTTAAGTGTATCATGACTTTTGTGGAACTAAATTTAAGATTTTTTTAAGTTTTTTCTTATTTTTAAGTAAACTATAAGGAAAAGTTGTTATTTTATTTTGTAATATTGTTAAGGCAAGTGAATTACACAACATGTCATCCTTAGTTTTTTTCATTTTTCGTTTAATAAAGGTATATTTTGCAAGTTTCGTAGAAATCGTCTGCTGTATCATGACTTTAGTGGCACACTGTACATGGTGCCCATATACAAATATATACGTATCCTCAGGCAGCCGCTCTGGTTGGCGGCAAATAAAACACAGCGTAAACCGCATGACATATTGGCGTTTATTACAACAAATTGGGGTGACGATTTGGCGGCATTACAGCGCAGCAAGAAACTAGGCGAAGCTCGGATAAGATGCCGAGCTCCCACATCCTGGAAACACGTTCCGAGGAACGTGTGTGCCAACTCTGTGTGCCGGATCTCAAACCAAACCGAACCGAACCGAAACTCAAACAGTGAGTGGATGGGAGGGGGAGGGGGAGTGGAAGGGGGAGTAGGAAGAGGGGGATAGCCCCTAGGCTGGGCCCAAGTTTTGTCGTAGCTGCTGCGGCTGTCGCCAACTTCGTTTGACATTATTGTCGTTGTAATCCTGCCACGCGGTGGCAGGCATCGCTGGCACTCTCCACGCTGACGAGGGTCGCCCCGAAACGACTTCATCAAGTGAGTAACAATTCACTTACGAACAAGTTTAAATATAAACCAAATCATTTTTGAAAAACATCCAAAAGAACGTAATTGTGTTCTTACACTAGAGGAAACGGCTAATTTATCATCACATGCATACACTCGTATGCCTATTTTTAATAATTTTCTCACTTAGCATAAAAAAAATTATTTTCTGGATAAGTTATGTCTTGCAAGTTCAGAAAAAAATGTACTTTGTACTGTCCGAAACTTAGGTTTGAATTAGATAATAAAATCAAAAAAAAATCTAATATATGCAAGAAAAATAATAGAAAATACACAGCTTTTTCTAGACAACATTTATCATATGTACTAAAACAACGGTTAGCAATCTCGATTTACCATAATCAAATTATATTTTCACCTGAAAAATATAAAGATCTCTAAGCTAACATTCCAAAATGTAAACAAAGCGGTATTTTTCATTATTTTTACCATCCTGCCGCAGTGTTGGGAAACGCTAAATATTAATTTCTAGCTATGGGGTGAGAATTCCCCTTGTTGTTTATATTATATTTATGACATCGACGAACTAAATGTAATTTAAATGTCTTTGTTAATGGAAAACAAAGACATAGAGAGCTGAATTTTAATCGCATTCAATTGAACCCCCCTCGAGAACAACTTTTGGGCCGCCCCTCGGCACCCATGTCGACATACCGTAGCATACTTTGCAGCGCATTTCGTGGAGCTCCCTGTCGTGCCCCATGCAGCAGAAGCTGTTTTTGCTGCCACTCTGCTCGGCGTTGCCCTGGGGCACGCTTTATTGGCATTTCAATAGTTGACTTTTGACGGCGGCAGCAGTGGCAGCCGAGGCAGAAGAGCCGCAACGCCCCGCCCACCCCTTCTGGCCGCCCACTTTATGATTTATTTATGCGCCAGAGCATAATGATACAAAGGCGCTTGTGTTATGCAATCTACATACATATACATATGCTTAACGCTCCACGGCGAGAGTAGCCTTTGTTTTTGTCTCTCCGGGTTTTTCCGATGTCCCACACACCCACACTTTCCAAATTGTGGACGTAATTTATCTTATTTCGCCCCGCCAATGGGGAGCAGTTGGAGTGGAAGGGACGGCGCGAACAGGAAGGAAGTGGGCAGGAAAGTATCCACCCCGATCCCGCCTAAATGGGACTCACCTGACATTTTCCTTGGATGCACATGTCCAGGCTGCCGGAGCGACAGCGGGTGCCGTCCTGGACCCTCGCCGACAGCTGCACGATGACGCTCTGCTCGTCGTAGTGCTCCGCCTCCTCCGGGTTCCCGCCTCCCGTCTCCCGGGAAATGTCCTCGACGAGATGCGCCGGATGGCCCCTGCGGATGGAGAATATCTTTTGCATCAGGCTTATTCACGGATTCAATGGAGAAGGCGTCTCCCGCAGAGCCTGATTGGTGAAGGCTGACGGAAAGGACGATTTCAAAGAGCTCGCTTGGCAGGTATTCTGATTATGTGTATGACAACTTAAATGTTTTGGGTATTTCAAATCACCATTAAATATTAAAGAATATTAAAGTAAAGAGTACGCTTTAAAAACTAAGAAAGTATATGCGCTTGAGGATTTTAAGTAAATACCTAAAAATGTAGCTTAAACTTAATCATTTTCGTTGAGTACGTTAATCAAGTAGCTGCACCTAATCTAAGCAATCTCCCAGAGTTAAGTGTATTCTTTTTCATACAACCACGGACAAATTGAGTCTTCCCGGACGTTTCCCTACGAATCACTTCCCCAAGCAATTCCCCCTTCTTGGTATCCACTTACAAATTGCTTTCCTCTGTGGAGAGTTCTCTCCCCTTTGCATTTGCAACTAAATTGCAGAAATTTAAAGCTTAGCAAATGATTTATTTTGCCCGCATATGTGTGCGGAAAAAAGAAAAACGCTTAGCAAAGAACCCAAATGGATTAACCGCAGAACTGGAAACCGCAGAATCCTTATCCCAAACACGGCAGCCACTAATTTGAACCGCAAAGGGGGAAAGCGGGAGGGACAAACAGCTTTTTTATTGTCACAGGACGGGGCACCGGAACAGGAATCAGCACCACCCAGCCACAGGACGCAAATGGAAGCCACTTGGAGCAACACCGCATGTCTGGCCGAACGGAAGGCATGATGAATAATGAGCGCATATCCGACTGGACCAGCTGCAGCGAACTCCGATTAGGTGTGTCCACGATTGCTCCATGCAACAAGCAGCACTCGGAGAAAATATATACTTCCAACTACAGTTGGCTTAAATTATTCTCTGATTTAAAGGTTCTATACAAATATATATCTGTCTTCACTGAAACACAACTTTATATTTCAAAACATTTTAAAGAACCTTTTTGAACATGAATTGAAATGCTTGATGGCCCTGCCTTGAGTTCCTCAGATGATTTATAAATACATGCCTTTTTAAAACGCAAATAACATTTAAAATAATTCTGTACATAAAAATCATACATGTACATATATAAATATGAACGGTGTAATAACGATTTACTAAATTCTAAACGTGCATTTAAGCGTTGGCCCAGCAAATCCCGCTTGAAATACGAAGTCCTGGTTTTTGAGAGTGCTCCTCCCTGGCAGGGTAACCACCCCCTCACACCCCCCACACTCACCTGCAAGTGAGGGCGCAGGGCTCCACGTAGTCGTAGTGGGGGGTCCACTTGTACAGGGTGCCGTCGTAGGGGACGTCGTTGTAGGCGGCGCACTGGCTGGAGCGGAAGTCCTGCTGCTCCGGACATGGCTGCATGTTGCAGATGCGATAGCGGGCGCTCTCGCCGCGGCAGCTGCCAGGGTTGCCGCACCTCCGCATCTGTTGCATGATGCCCCCGTCGCAGGTGCGCGAGCAGGTCGACCAGTCCGACCAGGACGACCACTGACCAGGTCCACCTCCTCCTCCTCCGCCTCCGCCTCCTGCGTTCTGGCCCTTCGCCCGCTTCTGTTGCTGCAAATGGGCAGTGGCACCAGTGGTTTAGTGAGCCGTGCTGAGCCGAATAAAAGGCCCAGGCCACTTACCTCCAGTTCATTTTCTAGGTCGGATGCCGTGTTCCATGTGTCGTCGAATGCTTGACTCGCATTCAGCTTCTTCGCCCAGGCGGCCCGTGTATCCAACAGGCAGAGAGTGGTCTGAAAATTATATAAATTACAATTAAGTCGAAAAAATATTATTTTGAATAACATGACCACCAAAAATTTGTGTACTAACACTAAACCACCCTCCAAACCCCTTGTTATTGTGAATATAATACGATATTGAATATAAAATACTTACAAACACTTATTAACCTGCATCTTAATCCTATAAATGTATAATAAAGAAATTCTAATTTCGAGTATTTTAACTTATTGAAATCAGTCAGAACGTGTTTTGTTCCTCGAAATTGGTAGTTTAAGCCACTTGTTCCAAAAGCTTCTGCACAAACAACAGGATCCGCCAATGAATTCCCCTCCTAATAGCCACTCCATCAGAGCCACTTACAAAACTATCAACCACGTGGCGTAATGCCAACTTGAGCCCAATAACGCGATGCAAAGTATGTCACATATTTGACATTTGGGTTGAAGCCACAGGGCGAGCTCTCTCCATTGATATAAATTGTTTTCTCTCGCACGCGCCGTTCCTGTTAGTCACGTTAACAATTTGCATTTCGGCTTCCTGGCTTTGGTTTTCCTGCTTTTCATATCGAAGGCACATTAACCCTGAGACACGCATCACGTCTATATACTCGCACATATAGAAGGCCAGGAGTTGAAAGCAGTCTTGGAATCGCACAGTGGAAGTTTGACTAATCAAATCCAAACAAAAAGTATCTATTAGATTAAGCATAAGTCTTACTTCGATCAGACCTTAGAACCAGAATGGCGGATAAGCAAAATGAATTGCTTTGCTTTATGTAAAGCTTACAAATAAATAAAATTATTTTGAAATTACTTTCAGAAGATAATCAAAATTTTGCAAAAAGCAGTTAAGCCATGAGAAAATGAAAATATAAAAACCTTAAAAGTGGCGCTCACAAGTAACTGAATTCACGTTACCTTCAATTTTATATCAAAAGAAGTGTTACTTAGACTGCTACTTGTAACTTTTAAGATTCTAGGAAAAAATAAATATATCAAGCCATTTGTCCGATCTGAAGTTAAACTGTTCAACAAGAACTACTTTATGTAGGTGAAGATTTCCTAATCTAAGAACAAACAAAACAACACAGTCAATTTAAGCACTTTTCCCACAGTAAAGTCGTGTCAAGGGTTCCAGAAGAAGAAGAATAGCTTTTGGTGGGGTTTTCCTAACCCACGTTGTCTGCTCCTGCTGTTACCACTGGTTTATGGCGTGTCGCGATATGTCCACGTGCTTCAATTTACCGAAAACTACTCAACTATGTATGGATATACACGCAATCTCGGACTGGATTGCTTCCACTTAGCAAGTGTGTGAGAGTTCGAGAACAGAAGTAGACTCTTTCTCTTTAACGACAACTAAGCAGTACTGATAAAATGTGACCTTATTTGAACTTACTAAAAATTGAACAATAATATATCACATTTTGTAGTAATACATGCGTTGTATCATAAATTTGGCGGAAGGAACATGCTTCTGTTGGCAACAGCGTTTTAAACTACCAAAAATGAATAGCTTTCTTTATCGATGAAAGTTATCTTTTTTTATACTATAAACAGCCGAGGGAGGTCCACCTTTGCATCAGGAAGTTTCCCTAGAGTCCATGAATCCTCGCTCAACATCGAAATGCCCCAGGGCAACCGAGACCATTTGGTAGGCCAAAGTTATCATCGGTGTTCGCTTAATCGCTGCCGCATATCTGCCATATCTGCTTTCAGCCCGAAGGCAACACTCACCTAAAACACGTACAATAATGGAATCGGCTAACAACTAGTCGGCTTAACAACTTTCTGTCTAATCCAAGGTCTGAGCCCTCTGAACTCAGTCAGTCCGACGAAGAGCGATAAACCGTAGGCATCGAGGTGGCCGGGGGGCAATCTTAAAGGCAAATCAGCGCCAAATGGACCGGAGCCAATGCAAAGGCGAGTCAACAGCCACAACAAATCGCAGCGAGTGTGTGTGGCCAGTGGAATGGGGAAAAGAGGGAGGAGGAAGGAGGAAGGGGAGGAGATGGTTGGCCTTCCGGAACGGAATGGAACGGAAGCTCACGCCATGTAGATTGTCTCCTGCATGAAACATGACCTGACCCAAAGAAAAGCCAAGCCCCCTCCGAACTTTCTCCGCTTTTCCACACTTTCGTTTGATTGCAGTGCGGATGGAACGGAATAAGTGGCGAAGGATGTGTAGAGCCAACAAGATGGAATGTCCGATAAAGCAAGTGCGGAGCAATAAAACGAAAGCCTGCACAAAGAGGAGGAACAAAGCAAAGCCAGGGAAATCGGCGTGAAATCTCATATGTCCATCCATGCGGTTAGGAAAAGCTACTAAATTACTATTTAAGTATCTATTACCACGTTGCAAGTGTTGCCACTGGTCAGGAGTCTCCGGAGTGTGTGTGTGCCCCTAATGGAAATGTTCAAGCCTAGGCGACCCTTGTACAAACATTAGAAAAACAAATAACCGTCCCACCGAAGACCTGCCTCGCTTACAACGCCGTCAGGTAAATACCCTCCCTTCCCCGGACGGAAAGCCGGGTATTTAAGTGAGTGTGCGGTAGGAAAAACATTAGCAAACAGTATTGGACAGGCCAGAACACTCTGTGCCCAGGCATTTTGCGATTCCGGTAATTATTTATTTATGAGTTGAAACAGTTTCAATAACTCACTCCTGCCCTTCCATCCCCCGGCTCACGTTTCTCGGGAACCCGTCAAATGTCAGCTTCTACGGGTTTCCTCGGGTCGCGGCAGGAAGTCATTGTTGGTAGTTAGTTAATGTGCACAGTGGTGCGAAAGTGACGAATTTATGGTCTTAAGGGAGGAACGGCGTTGCCCGAATGTCCTTCCTATATGCCCTCCTTTAACGAACGAGTATATGAGTAAAAAAGTGGACATGGTTGATGGACTAAAAAAGGTCAGCGCTTCCCGGCGAGCTAACGTTTGGATTATAAAAAAGAAAGTATTCAGGTCCCGTGCTGTGCGATATCCAACCGCCTTCACAATTCATTTGGTAATCATATTTCATTAGAATCCAGTGAAATCGATCAAACAACGGTAAGTCAATAGAGGATTTTGTAAGTTTAATATCAGCATGGTGAGGTTTTCAAAAATAATATAATTTTTACAAGTAAAAAGAGCAAGTCGAACTGAAATTCAAATAAAATAAATGCCGACAACCTGTGAAGCATTTTTAGATCTAACAAACCCTTTAGCACTTGGCACACAACAAATTGTTGGTGTTTCCTACACAGAGCGTGGAAGCAAATTATCCTAATCAACTACGGAAACCTATGAAATACAAAAACTCTCCGTTGATCTCATCTCCCCCACTTAATTCAGAGCCCACTGTGCCAGTCAGTTGTCAGGGCAGAAAAGACAGCCAAGTCGAGTTGCCAAGTCTATTTCCGAAGACAGAGTCAGTACATCAGAGGGGAAGAGAAGGTAAGCATTTTTGCATAAACACTGGGGCACGGTTGGTTAGGTCGGGGTTGCACGGAGCACATCCCTCCAGGATGCTGCCGCCGAATGCCGAATGCCGAAAACCGAAGCGGGATTGGAAGTGAGAGGGGGAGTGGAAGTGGGATTGGGTCGAACAACAGACGATTAGACTGTCAAAGACGACGAGGGGAGTCGCTTGAGTCGGGGGTCTTGTTCAGGTAAACGCTGCTCCGGCGGCTGATTGTATTGTTTCTGTTTCTGTTCCTGGGGAATCGGAGGAGGGGAATGGGGGGATGGAGTGCCAGGATATATGAGCGAACCCTCGTTGGATAATGTGTCTGTAGCGCCACGTCAGTTATTTATTCAAAGCGACAGCGACAGGCGGCGCAAACGTCAATGAGCTAAAATTTCCGTATGCGAAGGTTGCACAGGTTGCTGCCACAAAGCGGGAGGCGGAACCCCGGGGGCGGGGCTTATGGCTGATATAATGGCTGGGACGGAGTCAAGTCGGTGTCGCTATGGCCACAGCAGCTCCAGCTCCCGTTACATTTACATTTACAGTTACAGTTACAGTTACAGTTAGAGCAGCAACCGAGACGTTGACATGACAAGGGATAGATGGATGGATGGATGGATGGTTGGATGGTTGGATGGATGAACTGGGTTCTGGGATCTGAGTTCAGGGCTTTTGGGTCTCGGAATTGATGGTTCCGCTCCGGCCTGCTTCCGCCCTGTTCTGAGTTCTGAGTTCTGAGTTCTGAGCTCTGAGCTCTGAGTTCTGAGTCTTCCGACTTCGGGGGCCTGTCTAACCTGTCCGATTTCCCGGGCTTGTCTATCCGTTTGACTGACATTACTTTGTCATTAATTTTCGATGGCAACACTTAACGCATGTGGAAGCAAAGGTCAAGTGTCGCGGGCCACATCCCTCCGAAAATAAAACTCAAACCCTGGGTAAAAAAAGCCCAATGACGTAGTTCAGATATAGAGAGAGCGAGAGAAAGAGAGGGAAGACCAACTCTGCCCGTCTCCTTCTGTAATGCCATTTAACGGCTGTAAGTGGCCAAGGGCTTAGCCGTCGTTAACTGTTTCCGGCTTTATATGTCTCGACTCCCGACTCCGTATGGCTTCGCTTTGACCTCCAACTTTCCGCTGGCCACTGCAGGCGGGTTTGCTTGGCTCCTCTTGAATTGGGTTGCTGGAAATCCACCAACGCAGTGCATTTTCAACGGATGGGATCATAGGGATTTTGCCCCGCACTTCAAAAAATAAAACATAAGCATACAGATTTAAATTCGTTTTTAGAAACTTTGAGTTTCATTCTGACGCTGTTGGTGGTATATTTATTCATGAAAGCTTACTAACCACTTTATCTAATACAGTTAAGCTATGTATAAAGTGTCTAATTGTTTGTTTGAAAATAATAATATTATCCAATATATATAAAAACCCATTTTCTTTTTAAGAATATGATGAAAATTGAATTACAAATGTTACAAAAATTATTTAAATTTTTGCTTTTATGGATCACTCAAAATAAATCATTGCTAAAAGTTAATCCATAAAGAGAAGTATAA